TATTTGCTCTTTGTCCCCCCCCCCATCAAAAATAAACATTTGTATTTCCGTCCGCAGAAATGTCAGGGGGATTTATGTGGTCCCTGTTTTGTGTCGGTGGCCTATTTAATGCTACACTGCACACCCCTCACAATGTGAAATGAAAGCACAGCTCTTTATGTAGCCAGCCATATTCACCGCCAATCAAACTGACAAGTAAACCAAATTCAGATTCTTGCATAGTTCATCTTTGGAAATCGTTTCCAGACATTGATATGAATCATATTTTTCTGGTCTGTCATGCTGTCATACATGAATTAGACCCACTAAAGGACAACAACAGAGAAAGTGATGTAAGGTTTTAAAAAGACGGGACACAGGCCTCACGTGTGGGGCAGACGTAGTCCTGGAGATTGTGGTAGACAAGTAAGCCATCACCACTCCTACTGCTTTTGTAAAGAATCACTGTAGGCCTTTACCAATGTGGACACACAGCATGAGTGGTTTTTACTTAGTGTCCATTAGAGACAAAAGTAAGAGTTCTAGCTCAAGAATATTTACACAGAGACGGACACGAACAAACACTTGTCCTTGTTACAAAATTGCTCTTAAGAATACCCAGAGTCCATTTAGCCATTTTTCTCCGAATGCAGAGCATTAGTCCCTCTTTCAAATGGTTGGCTACTGTGGCATCTGCCTGTTGGTTTCCCTATTTGGAAGCTTTCAGATGTGGTGTAACCTCCATTATCTAAATTTGAAGTTGTTCAAGTAAATCCTTCCCGTTCAAAAGACAAACAAGGTCAGGTGAAGGTGGGATTTGACAGCACTAAATTTCACTGAAGGTAAACTAATATACGCTATTTCACTTACACATGTGACAACACTGTTTGAGCCAATATCCACAGGTCATCGTTCACCTTCAGCTGATTCCATCCCACTCTGACCCCTCTGCTCTGTCCTGCACTACTTTGATTAGGCTAATCTGAGGTAAGTTTAAACTGAATAAACATTTGATGTGTGTCGTATCGCAGTTTCTTCCCCTCAAACACATCTATCTAGGTGCATGACTCCATCCCTTCTCTGCTTCTCTGCTTTAAGGCCGTGAAGCCAAGGCAACATTTTAATGCAATGGCAGGGGGAAATATTTCCTCCTTGAGAGATGGAGATTTGTTAATGTACTAAATCCACTGTGGATAAGGAAACACAGCGGCTGGGATGAGCTCAGTCTCATCAGCTAAAGACCTCCATTTATTCATCTTACAATCCCTCATAACTCTTCAAACATCCGTTTTACATTCACTCCCACATCTGACAGTCTGACAGCATTTAGTAGGGGCTACCAGTAAGGAGGAGTAGTTTTATAAAGCTAACAGAGACCGATAGCAATACAAGCATTGTAACCACACCACCAAGAGCTGACAAGGAACGCAGCAATTATGCATTACTTGAGGTTTTGGCAAGGATTGCAGAAAACTAACATTTCGAAATAGAACGTATTAACACTGCAAATACAAGAGTGTCAGTGATAGAAGCTATTAAGTGGACTTTCTCTCTTGTTAGGGCAGAGGATGTGCACAATCAAGACTGAGCTACTTGCAGAACAAAGGAGTAATTTATTCCAACGGAGAAATTCAGGGAGTGTGTATAAGTAAGAAAAAAGCGCACATGAAAATCTCTGAATTACATTTAAAAAGAAAAGGTAAATATACATCACATTTTTACCTGAGCTAGAGTGTGTCAAACAAAAAAGCACAGCATCTTTGAACAGCTCACTCAAAGGTGACTCATAATTTTCACATTATTATGAAAAAAGCTGCAGGCTATGGAAAGATGGGAACGCTGGTATTTAAAAAGAAAAAAAAGAAAAAAGGACTTTCAGAATCACAATGATAAGTGTGAGAGCGAGAAAGGCTCTAAATTATCATTTTTCAAATGACACATTTCTTTGGGTCAAAGTTATGATGCTGAGATTCTGGCTCATTATTTTCTCAGGATCACAAAACCACTTAAGGCTTGGAAAGTGACTCCGGCTCAAAGTAGCTAATCAGCCAATCAATACTGAATTTCTAGTTCTGTGTCCACTCACTCGGACAGCTGTAAGAGGATAAAATTGAAAGGTTGATCAATGGATAAATCAACCATTCAATCAATGTTAGAGGCTCAAAAGAAGTTTAGTCCATCTTCCCTTGATTTTACAGGATCTGGCAATTGGATTAAATAAGTTTTAATAACGGGTCACACGTATAAATATACTCCCAATTATCACACGGAACGCCATCTAGTTTCTGCAATCAGAGACTTTCTGATGTTGTGAATTCTATGAACAAGAAATCAAACACTTTTTGGAGCTCTGATCTTCAGTGGGTGGAAAAGCAGCAGCAGTTACAGGGCCAAAGAGTCCATTCACCTGTTGCTGCTTTTCCGATCTGCTTCCATTATAAGCCATTTTGAGAGGGCAAGTCACACACACGACCTTGTTGTGGCAGCGCGGTTGTTCCTTGCACTTAAATGCACTGAATTTGGACAGAAGTAGAAGCGTGCCATAGCTTAATTTCGACAGGCCTTTCATTCGCTCTGCAAATGGTTCATGGGTGCCTTGCCACTGCCACAGCCATTACGCCTCTCTATCACCAAGAACAAGACGTGGAGCAGACTCAACACTTCAACGACCCTCAGCTGAGCACAGAAATACTCAGTGAGAATGTCAGGGCTATTATTCGGAGCAAAGTTGTTTATGGTGGATAAACGGCTGACATGGAGATTTTATGTTCGTTATCTCTGGCTGCCATTCCGTCATAAACAGTGACTGGACCATACCCAGTATTTTCAACACGTCCACCTTCTGATCTGTCTTTGATTGAAGACATGAATTAAGTTATTTTAATTCAAAATTATTTCAAAACGTACAGAATTAGCTTTACTCTAGACTCAAATAGCCTCAAGAGTAAGTGCTTTATATTTGACCGTTAAATACATCTTGCACGCCTCAAGCCTTCAAGGCGTTCAAAGCGCCACATGAAGCCATTCCAAACACAGAATACGCAAAAGGCTTTGTTCAAAGTGGAACCAAATTTATTTCAGCTTTTGACAGAAGTTGCTGGGTTGCCAGTCAAAAGAATTTCAGGGGGGGATGTAGTATCTCTGAGGGGCCATTACTCTGAGGCAAAACCTACCAAGACCACAACACAATTTCTCACCCAGGAAGTGTTAGGGAGTAATTCAGTGAAATGTGTGAAGTGAAAAGCGAGGAAAGAGCGAGCGGTAACTGCGAGCCAGAGATGGACTGTGTTCAAGGGAGAGAGATGGACGCAAGAAAAAAAAGGATGGTGTTAAAAGTTGTGATCACGTCCGTTGCTGCTGGTTATTGTTGGTTTGTCCCAGGAGTAGTAAACATTAGCCAATGGAGAGAAGAGACAGCAACAGAGGCAGTTTCTGTCTCACAAATGACCGCTTGCTTTCAATCTGTCCTCCTCTAGATGATTCTTGAGGATGGTCAGGTTATTGTGGCGAACATGTCAACTGGGCAAGGCTACGTTCTTGTCATGGGGTTTTGGGATTTAGCTGCTGTCTCTAAGTGTTATACCTCATTTTTCAAGAAGGTTGGAGAAAAGAATACTGGATACTGTATTCACGGGGTGACACACATGTTACGGTGGTAGAGGTTATATTTTTTTTTTTTACTGGAAATGGTATAAAACAGATGCTGACTGCTGGGTGAATAAATTATACAAACTGACTGTAAAAAGAGCACTGCTGTACTGTATCTCCTCATTTCCTCCCTCTCTGTCCCTTCACACACATCAAACATACGCTGTCTCTCTCTCACACGCGTTTCTGTTACTATTATTACACTGTCTATTACTTATTAAATGTATATCACTGCTGTGGCTTTAATTAAAAATGTAGCTGTAGTATTGCTTCCTGTGAAGCATATATATATATATATATATATATATATACATATATATATCAAGTCTTAACCTGCACAAAGGAGGGAAAATGTAATTACGTGAGCATTAATAAAACAGTCAATTTCTCAATGGAATTTCAGCTGCAGTGAAAACAAGGTTACTATCCTTTATAATCCAGCCTCTACTGTCACCTCAGCTCATTCTAGTAGCTCGGCTATAGGCCAACTCTGTGTCTAAAAACTGTTGGGGGGGTTCAAAGAGACACTGTACCTTCACTGTACATTTCTAAAATACAATGCCATCAAGTGAGCACACACACAGTCACTCACTGAAGGACAAATAAACGTGGAAAGCTGCTCTAATTGTCAAGCTCATAGAGTTGGAGCTCCCTCTAGGGGTGAGAGCGGACACATGTGCTGCACTGGACTCCATCCCAGTGAGCTCACAGCCTGCCGGCTCTTCTGGAAAATTAAATTCAGACCTCAGCAGCTTTCTCTTTATAACCGCAATAAATATGACCTTTTAAATGTTGAATTGATGTTGCTGGGATAGCTTACAAATCAGCAAGCTTTTCAGGGCAAATGCATTTCAAATAAAAAATGGTTCAATCATATTTAACTGTCACCAAAGGTCAAGTGTGACACTGTTGTTTGCAGCATAATAAGGTTTAATAGTGAGAAGCGCAGTCGCACTGTGTTTCTACGACAACGTAAACTGTGAACGGTGTAAAAATGCAGAATTATCATTTTTAATTGAATGCAGTTTGTCAGTAATGTGTTAGAATATACTGTCGCTGTGCTTATGTATGGATCCGAGTGGGTGGAGGGATAACGAATTTCCAGGATTTGTAAGAGAACAGGAGGGGAGCTTACTGGTAATTTTGAGTGGGTGGGAGGAAGGCTTATAGGTGGGTGAGAAAGTAACCAGGTTTTATTTTACAGAAGTGGCAGCGCACACAATGTAGAGTCTCGTACGGCCGAGTAGGATGAGTATAGCGCTTATTTGTGGTGCCACGAACATAGTTTCTCGTGCAAGTGTGTGTACGCGGTACGCACATATCCTGGTTCCGGGTGTCCGTGTGTTTCGAGGAAGTGCGTGTGGGTTTTTTACCTATTCACAGTCCTCTCCTGGTGAATGAGAAGTTCCGTTGTCGATTCCAAGTTTCCCCAGCCTGGTCATCACTCTTCTTCCCATCTGGTTGAATTCAGACCTGTATGTTGCCTCCATCTGAAGCTCCCTCTGGTGCCTGTGACAGAGCAATTTAACGTTATCAATGGAAGAACTGGACAGATTCAGCAGGGAATAGAGAGACCAGTAGACAAGAGCCTCCTTTTAATAATTGCAAGTTTTAGATTAAAGTAATCTATGCCTAAACAGGCTATAATCTGTCAAAATATGACAGTATATCTCTACAAAAGGGATGACAATACTTTTAAAAACCCCTTTGCAGGGACAGTTAAATTGTCATTTGCTAGAGGATGCTAACAATTTAGACCCGCACACGTATGGTATCAGGTACACTATGAATTTATATGATAAGAGTGCATTTTGAGTCAAGGCTGGAACTTCAGCCATAAAAAAATAATCTTATCTTCATAGATAATGAAAAGTAGTTATAGTTAGAAATCTTTATCAATTATATCTAAATGATCTTTTTCATTGTGATGGCAGCAGTTAAAAGAGAGCTTCACGCAGCGTGTGAAGTTTCCATCTACGCAATTTGAACATTCATTAACTTCATATTTAGTTTATCATGAGGATTTGTCTTAAAACTCACAACATGTTTAATGCCCTTTCCAACTACCACTATCTGCAATGTGCATGTGTGTATGGATATACTTTCATATACATTCATCCTATTTGTTGCATGGGAAGTGCGTCAGTAAGGATTCATTATACATAATGTCATTGTTATGTTGTAACCTCTGTCTTAGCAACGCAAATGCTGCACCAGTAGACTTACCAGGCTGTCATTCCCGTGGTGAGGTTGCTATTGGAGACCAGAGGTTCCCCAGACAAGAACTCTGCTCTGATCATCTCTGGAGTCAGTTGAACTCCTGAGCCTTCACACCTGCGCACAGATAAAACATACTGTACATAATCTGAGCATCGGAGCAGTGATTGTACTCACTTTTTCTTGCTGAGAGAAAACACAAGCAGATCAATAGTGTCAATAGTGTGGTATGTGCTTACGGTTTGTCCATTAGTGGCGTCAGATCATCAGGAAAGGTGGTGAGAGGACGAGGTGCTGTGAGTGGAAGTACATCTGTGCTGTAGTCGACAGACCTAAAGGAGACACACACACACACACACACACACTGCTTTTTTCCCTGAAGAGCGAGACCAAACATCACAAAATCGAGACAGTGGTCAGATACTTCTTACTTAGATGAAAGGACTGCTTAGGGTTGTTTGAAATCTCAGTTTGAACAGGAACATTAAAAATACTCCTGAGTGAAAGCTGATACCACTCACAGGCAAAAATAGATTTAAAACATTGACAGGTTTGGCTTTGGGAAGCAACCCTGCTCTAAGCTGTGATTTCATTCTGAACAGATACTTTATAATGGCAGGAGCATGGAAACACATGGTCACATAGACATACAGTCACAGTCTGGGACTGGGTTGTACCAGCCACTTGTAAATTCATTATATTCATTATATTCATTATAATTCAGTGTTGAGTGTAAAAAGTCCTTCCTAAGTCCTTAGTAACCACTAACTGGTTTCAAACTAGTGATTTACTACTATTTTACTTTACCTATACTAACATATTAAACTTAACAGCCCATCTTTTGTAAATGGAGATACGAGTTTGTTATAAAAACAGTATGTGGATTCATGTCTGGTGCTGAATGTGTGTGTTTTAGAGTTGGTAGTTTCCATGGAGTTATCATACTAACATGACCAGCGGCATTTATCTAGTCATTTAGTCTGACGTTAGTAGCATAGTGTTTTGTAACTTGAGGTATACTGTGCTATTTTTGTGAAATGTAATTTATTTAAAATATTTCCATCTTAAACTGTTATTAAACAGCATTTTGATCCCCCAAGTCAGAAAGTTTTACTCCTCAATCTAAAAGCGTCACATATAAGCAAAATGATGGCGGTAAAATTTTAATGACAGTAAAATTAACACGACGGTATTCATTTTAAATCAAATTCTCATGTAAAACAGGTTCCATTTGCATTTGTGTGGCTCACAGTAGTACAGCTGTAAAATAAGTAGAATCTGTACCTACAGAGTTGCTGTTTTAAAGTTTGTTGGTAGTTGAGATACAACACAGTCCCTTTAATCATTAACACATATTACATAAGGAAAACACATCTCTCATTCTCCTGCTGTCAAGTTTCTGTCAATTTCATTCTCATCTGCTATTACGATCACCTGACATAAATCATATTGTTTGTGTGTGTAAGATAACCAGAGACACAGTGAATGTAACCGGTGATGCAGTGCTGGAAAATTAATGAGACTGAGCAGGGAGGCTGGGGGAAAGTCATCTCTTGCATGAAAAAACAAGAATATATCTTCAGTTATCCTGCAGATCAGTGGTGACAGGCATAAAGAGAATATTTTGCCTTGCCAGGCATCTGATTATGTAAGGTGAAGGAAGGTGGAGAGAGATGGGAAGTAGACAGAAAGGTGAGGAGAGAGAGAGAGTTGTAGCAAAATAGTAGTCAAACCCACACATTCACAGATACATCATGTGAACAGTGGTTGGCCGAATTACTTGGGGATCTTGTCAAATAAAGACTTAAAATGGTTTCAGATCTCCCTGGGTACATTGCATCATTAGCTCTGCAACTTTCATTTTGTTACTTAAATCATCTTGAAACAAGAAATCCATTCATGCAGGATAAATTACGAAATTCTGTACATAGAAAAAGTCAGAAACAAGAAGTGTTTTGCACACCTGAGTCATAGTCATTGTGACAGGGTGCACAAAGAAACATACAGTGCACCACAAATGGAACAGGACAGCCCTAAGCTGTGCTCACTAATACGCTACATCAAAATATCATAATTTATTCACTGTCCATTTAGGCTAAAGTCTGAATAAATCATTATTCCACAGTGTGAGTAGAGACTGTGTGTGACGGGCTCTCTGCCTCCATATGACTGAGACTCTCCGCTTATTCTGAACAATGTCTCGTTTCCATTGTAGAAAGAAGACACGAGTGCGTTCGGCTGCTGGATGAGTCAAAAATTCAGGTTAAATTCAGTTCAACAGGAAGCGTCCACGATTCCTTGTTTTTAAAATCTCCAATTACTTATTTGTTCCTTGCTTCAATTTTTAGAAACAGAGACATTGAATCTAAATAACAGCTGGAAAATTGGAACTAGCAGAGCACTGCACTAATAATAATTAATCTTCAGTCCAAAACTACTGAAATGTGGCCTTTTCACTCCAAGCAAGTCAAGATGTACATTTAAGTCAGATTGATGATATCCAAGGCTCTAAAACCAGAGGGAGAAAACTAATCTCAACACACAGGATCGATTTTAGGAATGTACAACTTTACCGGCTCCTTTGCAAAAGCAGAACTGATGAATACAAGAACCACACCCACTGTTCTTTCTGTTCTTTATAAAACCGCAGTGGGATTTTAAATAAAAGCAGCTTATTTTCTAAATTAAATGGAATCAGAACCAATACTTGAAATCCAAAATGATACCTGCTGTAAGCGCAGTACTGCATGTACTCCAACTCTATGAATGTGAAATGAGTTCTGCCGGATATGTTACGAGTAGACACTTTCACAGCCTCCAACCTGGCAGGTGCTGGAACTTGTGCGGACTTGGCTCTAACACATCTATTTTTGAAGAGTGCGAGAAGTCATGTTTCTGTAAAACTGTATGTGAGATGATGAGTAGGATAAGAGGGCGAGAGGATAAATATCTACTGGTATCACTTGAGAAGGAAGCAAAGAGAAAGAGGTAGATAGAAATAAGTTGTCTGTTAGGACATGAGTCTGTCTTGCAAACCTTTCTAATATAACTAATGCTGAAATAGACAATCATTTTTCATTATTCGATAATCTGCCATTTATTTTGTGTAGCTTGATATATCTTGTAAAAACTCAAATCTGGAGCAGCAGTTTTGCAACCAGAGGGTCATAAATTCAAATTCCTCTACAGGTGGTAAAAATATAGACAGCAGATGTGAACAACAGCCACTTTGTACTCTGTAAACAGGTAGTGTAAACATGTGCTTTGTGGTCCCACAGTGCTCCAGTTGGAGCTCCTCAGCGACTACTTCCACATAAGGGTGGTTTAACACGGGAACCTCAGGGTGAGTAAAACCTCTCTTTTAACTTCTGGGTGGTTGTTCTCTGTATGAAGTCATTCTCACTTCCTTGCTCAGTAAAAAGGAGGAAAAACAGGAACTGGCACAACTTGATATTTCACACAGAGATGTAGTGGTAATAAAAGGTAGCAAACTCCAGCTTCTATTGTCTAAGGTTGAACTAAAATCTAGTCGACAAATAAAAAGGCAGGTAGGTGAAAGGGTATTCACCACACAGCTCACATTATAATGTAGCTCTGTTAGGGTCCAGCTTTCACTTTCTCAGTCCAAGAAAAGCAGTTGTGACCTACCTGCGCAGGGCACAGCCACTGGTGAGAGCAGGTTGGTTGGACAAAGAGTTCAAGGCGATCGAATCGAAGTTCTTCCATGTCATGACCCCTTTTATCACTTCCTGTTGTTGGTCAAGAGAAAAAAAAAAGAACAAACAACATTTCAGATCTAAAAATGGAGCTACATCAACTTTTACTGAAAGAGGTCAACTTTGAAAAATGCCTGTGATTATCAAACACTTCAGTCCAGCAGGAAAACGTTTCCTAACATGTCCAAACAAAAATGATCAAAACAGGGTTCAAGTGCTTTACGGACAAGACTAAAAGCTTTTCAGAGAAGTTCACTGACTACAAAGTCTCTAACCTTGCGATCCAGAAACTTCTTCTGAGTGTGCAGAGTCCTTGTGTCATGCATGCTGCTCTCTGAGACTGTGTACCTGCAGACAGAAAGCACTGTTTTGTGCAACTGTTTTGATGCCCAAGAGAAAGAAAAGGACAATATGACCGAAGATGACTCTTCTTACCTGGGCAGAGGGCAGAGGTGGAACTCCAGATCACTCTCCAGGTATTTAGGGGTCGGTTTGTAAGCCTGCAGGCCTGGAGCCGGATTCTAAACCACAAAATCACGAGATAAACACAGGAACAATTCTAGTTTGAATATACCTGTCATCGTGAAACATATCATCATGTAGGGGAAATGAATGAGAAGCCTTACAAAGATCCTGAGCGGGTTTGCAGGGAAAGGTCTGAGCAGAGCTTCAGGGGCAGTGAAGCTGAGACCCGCCACCTCCTTTGCTTCCACAGCTGCTTCTTCATTTTCATGCTGCTGTTCCTTCTCGGCTCCAGCCTCGTCCTGAAAAGCAACAACAACACAGTGAGATGAATTTTTTAAAAAGGCAATCAAAGAACAAATTAGTAGAAAGATCAGTATGCTTGAGTGAAGGTGCTGTATAGTTACCGAAGCTCCAGTGCGAAGTGGTCTGGCCAGAGTAGTGGGGATATAAGAGTTAAATGCCTCCCAGGTTGACACAGGCTCGTAGCCCATAAGCTTATAGTGCTGAGGAACCTAGAGGGCCAAAACAGTATCAACAAACACTATGGTTAGAATAGCAACACAACATCAAAACAGATATGAGAAATTACTCGTATGAGATTTAAGATTCTTAATACTGATGCAGTATTAGTGTGGTTCCCAGATTAGGGGTCAGACACCTCCAGAGGGTCACAAAATAATTCAGGGGGATCATAAGATGATGATGAAGAGGAAAAAATATAAATGTTCAATATGACGTCTTTAGGAACAATTATTTGAATGAAGTCCCGTCAGAGGTTTAGAGAGGGAATGTCTCTTTGATGCAACTGGTAACAACTCAGATATCTGAAGTGTGACATGGTGCAACAGCTTGATCCTGATTTTTGTAAAGGTTTACAAGCCAAAAACAGTTGGAAACCACTGGTTTAATATTCAACAAGCACTGTATTTTATCATATGGCTTATGATACGCATGTACAATACTTTTCACAGTATGAGGTAAGGCTGGACCCAAATGCAACCAACACAAGGGAGTCTGAAAAATGTTCAACACTCAGAAGAACTTACAAAACTGGTGAACCAACCTAACAGGAAGCCAAAGCACAATGTAACACTGGGGGCTAATCAGAAAGCCGAAGCACGAGGTAACACAAGGAACTTGAACCGGTAGCAAAGGGGACACGAACAGGTAACACAAGGAGCTTCAACAGACGAACTGACACAGACACTAAATAGACACGAGGGAGGCAAGGCTGATTGAACACAGGTGAAACACATTAGGGCGGGGCAGACAAATCAACAAGGACAAAGACAGGAAGTAAAACATCGAGACACACAAGGAAATTAACTACAAAATAAAACAGGAAATGACCAAACTCAAACATAAATTGTCAGTCATGCACAAGTAGAGTGACATTGCATCAATATTTCTTTACTTTTCACCACTGCTGGTGCTGGATGTTGAGATATAAGTGTGATGTTCAGATGAGCAGGTGCTGCAGGAAATACCTACTTTAAGCTTGAAGAAAGGAATATGCGTTGTCACAGTCACATCAATAGGATCCACAGGCACTGAGACCAAATTACTGTGAGCCTAGAAATATCAAGGAGACAAATGGCGTTATTTGTTCAGTTGAACACCGAGGCCGTTCCTCTGCGGGGCATCAGGGAATTGAAAGATTTAATCAAAGTGCGGGAAAGTGAGCTTCTCTTTGATTCCACGGTTAGATCAAAGACGTCTTTCAGGGGAAATAATGAATGAAAATTGTTTCATGTGCAGGACAATAGCCAGCACTCACTTTTCAGAGGTTTCTAGTCTTCTATATATCAGCTCCCATTTGGATAATTTAGGATTTAACAAAGTGATCAAACTCTTTTGCTGACAGGCTGCTGATTTCTGTCTTTGACATAAATGGGCAGGTACACTTCAAACATATCTAACTGCTTGTAATCTGCATTAGGACAGTAACTTTTACAGTTTGCTGTTAGGGTGCATTAAATATGTAACATACTCACCAGTGGGTCATGTTCATCAGGGAAAATGGGAAAAGAAAATGGAAAGACTTTGTCTGGCGATATCTCCAGGTCACACGGCTTCTTCTCTCCGACTAAAGTAAACATAAAAGAGATGAGACAATTATAAAACCAAAAGGTCAGTGAGAAATATTCAGCAATAAAAGTATAACTAAATGCACAGAGTACCGTAAATAGCCCTGTTCCTCAGGATTACATATATGTTCCAAGAACCTCATAATAACCTGAAGGGATTTTATTTCAATTTTACCTCTAGAAATAAATTCAATTAAGCATGCTTTCCTGACACAGCAAAATGAGATTATTTCTGAATGAGGAGATCTTGGGATAATCGAAACCTTTCTGTGCCGAGGGCAGGTTCCTCACGCTGTCTGCCAGCTCCTTCAAACTCGCCAGTCTTCGGTTCATGCGACATCGGATCACAACCTGTGAGAGAGCAGAACAGCGTGATACTGCTGTCTACAAGTCTGACTTTTCTTTATTTTACAATGACTCACAAAGAGACCCACAACCTTCCTTTGATGCTGCCTGTCTGAGTTCAGGTCAAGTGACACATAAAGAACAAAAGAAACATAAACCAAGTGGACAGCAACAACTGCTGCCTAGCGATGGGCAAGTGCAATATAATAGAGAAAAAATATGGATAAACAATTGAGCAAACAAGCACATTGGTTACTTAAAATTATTTGTTATTGTCATTTTAACAAACTCAGTAAGTAAGTTTCTCCTCCACACTGTCCCCAAGTGCCTGCTCATTGTGTTGGGTTTTCTATATGCACAACCAGAGCTGCCTCATTACATTATTTACTTAAATTACTTGACATATTTTTAATTGGTTAAGATAACCATCCATTTCCTGTTACCTGTCTGTCCACGACAAGTTAATTGATTAATTATATTACCAGGAATTATGACTATACACAGCTGATAAGTACAAAAATGTGATCTGAATGTCAATAAATTCATGTACTAAATAAATAATTGAGGACAAATATTATACCAACTGATTCTGTGAGTGTTATAACCATAAAAGTCATAAATTTAACACAGTGAAAGCTGCAGAGACCCTGCATGATTTTAAAATTAAAGATTTTCTCGAAATCAATAATTCACACAACAATGGAGAGATACATACTTATTTCATTACTAGTATTTTATATTTATAAAAAAAGTGTCTGCTTGAGTCAGCTGCACCAGCACATGAATAACAACCTATTAGGTCAACACAGTGTTCAGCAAGAGTCTCCACTGGAAACAGAGAAACATGCTCTTCCTGTGGATCCAAGAGGCCATGTGAGATTACTCTGCTTTTACTGGGATGCACTGCACCCAGGAAGCTCGACTGTACAGTAAGGAATATTATACATTTAGTGTGAAGAGTTTACACACGGCTGAGCTAAAGGGACACAGCCGCAGGGACAGCAGCCATCTCCTGGGGGAAGAGGAACGTGTGTGTTGTGCATCTCAGCAAATGCTAGAGCATGTGTGCATTACCACGGTGACTTTACAGTACTTGGATGTATGTACCTTGCGTGCTGCCTGCTGGAACAGTCTGAGGGCTCTTCGTCTCAACTCCCAATGAAAACTGGAGTAAAACTGGAAGGTTGGGGCTCCCTCTGGGGCCTGGAGGAGGTTAGAAAAGACATTTATTCCTGATTTTTATATGCTCGTTTGACATCATTTCATTGAGTTCATATGAAAAGTACCATAAAGTGGGATTTCACAGGGTCTTGGCTTGAAGTATTTAAATGACAAAAGATGGTAGGATTGTAAAAAGTGAATGTTAGATTGAATTAAATTGCAGAAAAGGGCTGAAAGCAACAGATTCATTTCATCTAACATTATTGAAACCCCTCTTTTATGAAGAAGAATATACATGTAAGAAAATATATAATCCTGAATGACTTAGTGATGTTGCATTAATTGAACATTGTGCCAACTGCAGTTTTGGAACGAAGGTGCTTTTCTTTCAGATTTTTATATGCTGTGTGAGACTTTACTCAGGGCTGAGGAAACACACACACAAACTCCTGTTACTACATCATGTACACTATCGGCAAGTCCGCCTGTGAAGCGTGATGCTTCAGTTAATCTAGCGATGATGGGAACCTCAGTCTAGTGCAGCAGCAATTTAGAAACAACAACTTACACAACCAATGATGGATTCATGTGGAGAGTTATTAACTTGTTGTTGATGTTACCAGCAAAGCAAACTGAGTGAAATGTGGAAGTTCTGTGTCAAAGTAAACGTACAAAAGTAGAGATTTACCTGTCCAGCTTCACAAAGCACTCGTCTGGAGGAAAGTTTAGGTGGTCCAGCAGCAAAGTCTTCCTCTTGCCTTACATCTCCCCTTTGTACCTACAACACAATAAGTTAGCAGTGCATAGAGATTATGTATTAAACTGAATATTTTTTGTTAATGAACACTAAACACAGAGATTAGCTGAATCTGAAGGGAATGTCATAGACAACGGCAATGACAACAAAGTGGTGGACTGCTAGCATAGCTAAAAATATCAATTCCTAAAGCAAGTGTCACAAATAATTATTTTTAGTTTGATAAGAAGTATCTCACTTTCAAACAAGAGGTAGCTTCTCTTTCGTTGTATAGAGAGTTATAAATTTACATGCATTTTGTTGAGTGTCATGATGTCTGAACTGGTAAGAAACCTATAGGAATCCAGCTAAAAAAAAAAAAGTTCCAGTGCAAAGGGAGATTGGTATGTGGCATAAAAACAAAAGTAGATGTTCTTTCTATTTTTGCTAAATCCTTCTGGCAGTGACAGATGGTGCAAACTCAACTGAAAAAGAATATCCCAACAAGTTTATCCTCTACGGTAAGAACAACTTGAAATCCCTTGGCTGAAGAGGCAACGTTCTCTTTATCATGGGAAGAAATAAGCGTTATGTCTTAATTCCGTGAATCAAGCGACCGCTACCAATCATCTGGAGCACGGTCTCATTTGCCAACATTTGGTAAAAAGATTGTGTCTGCAAACCTTTTCACTCTGATGCAAACAGAGGAAGAAGGTTTATCGGATGGCTTATTTAAGTTCTGGCCTGCAGTCAAGATTTCAAGATGACCTATACAAGAAGATGGTAGCTCTTCCTATCATAAAAACAGCAGCAGTCCCCATAAAATACCAATGTGGAAATATGAGGTTGTAAACAGAGATCATATCTATGTGTGTGTGTGTGTGTGTGAGTGTATGTGTGTGTGCGTGCGTGCGTGCATTATAAACAGTGCAGGTGGAGAGGAGATGGGGAGGAAGTCCTGCTAAGTGTCTGTGAGCGTTCTGTCAACTATTCAAATAACTTTTTTCTGGGGACACAAACACACACAGACTCATATTTCACATCTGATGTTACTTTGGCTGAGTCTGCACATACCCTCTGTGACTCTCAATACAATCAATCACTGACGCAGAATGATTTATTTCAAATGGTCAAGATCACAGTGTGGATCCAATGGTGCATCAGTGGAATTTTCTGACGGGGCTCCACAGTGTCAGACTATGAAAACCTCTGCTCTACATGTTTCTCTATGTCCCACGCCAAGTGACGAATCCTACCGTGTATTCATGCAGCGTGATCTCTCTCTCCTCCAGTATCTGCCTCCTGGTTTGCTCTGACACAGGGTCTTTACCCAGGTGGACTTGCCTGAATGAAAGAAACATACATATAGATGTTAACTGCAATACATGTGACAAAATAAGCACAAAGATGAAAAATACAAATATTAAAATAAAGAAAGTTAATGTTATTGGTGTTAATGGTTTGAATTTTTATTATTTCTTTCCAATTGTGGATGCATGGAAGCGTTTCATTCCGACACTAAATTCCTGCTGGCGTTCTACCAACAAATTCGACATCCAAAACAAGAAGCTTTGTAATAATTATTTTAATTTATGTAATTATTTCTTTCCAGAATCTCTTCAACACTGGGCGAAACCAAAAAACAAGACTAATTGAAGCGTGGTTTTCACTGCATCCTCTCATCCAACGTTTTGTTGTCACAGTTAAAATATTATCTAACTTGTTGAACTGTGATAAAATAGCGCATCTGTATTTTCCATGTATATTCATGTATGTATTTTTCCACATATCTCCCCTTATTGCTGATTAGATAAGCATATTCCTGGATGATCTGATGATAGCTGGTACATCTTCATCCTCCCCCTGTTCTAAAACTGTACATATGCTTTTAATTTTGTTTCTGAAATGCTATATTTTAGTTTAACCTACCATCTGACGTGGTTGGCTTGCTCCTCCTTCACATTTTGTTGAACCTTTTTTATGAAAAGTGCCTCCTTCATTTGCTTGTTTTGCAGACCAAACACACTGCCGCAGGACATGGCTGAAGAGAAGGGGAAAATAAGAGACATGTGCATGTCCGTATGCATCATCTGAAATGCAGTTTACTTCATGGCAGCAACTTGAGTACAGCAGGACCTTAATAGAATGAAGTTAATCTAAAACATAGAACATCACGTTTGATGAGGACGTATGTTTCAAAAAAATCAGCAACAACTGAAAGAGTAAAACAGAAGGTTGCCTCTACCTTCCTTCAGGGCTTTAGAGCTGAGTTTACTGGTGTCTTTGATCAGCATCTTGGCAACGCCCGCGGGGGTAGAGACATCCACCGGCGGCTTCAGTCCGGACTGATCCCTCAACTTCTAGAGGACAGGTACGGAGATAACGGCAAGAAATGACCAGTCTTATGAGCGCAGTGAAAGTATAGTTTTACTCTTAGTTTACAAAGTATCACTAGTTTTATAACTAGTTTAAGGAGAAAGAGAACTTTTCATAACTACTTTCAACACGAGAGCGACTGATGTGTCAGAACTAAAACTAATCTAATCTTGACCGATACACTACCTTTGATTTGTCAGCCTCCTTGGTTGACCTGTATCTGGTTTTACTTCGAGGAGGCACTTGGGTGGCAGGTGAAGGTCCCTTATATTCTGCAATCGCTGCATCTCCATGACCCGACTTCCTTTCCAGCTGACTATCACGCAGAGACATATATTAATAAAAGTAGACATGATGGAGTGAAATTTGCTTTAATTATAACAGAACTGTGCACATTATTAAAGAACAAAATAGATTCAACACTATAAATAAGTTAAATAGTTAGCTACAGGTAGTGGATAAACACTTCAAATAGTTAAAAAATAGCCTCTACCTATGTCATATAAGTCTGGCAGGAGACACTTGAACATATCTCATCTTTTATTTGGTTCCACTGAGGGGAACAACAAACAGAATGTTTTATATGCTAAACATCCATCGAGTGGCATATCAATCTTGATATCACTGCACCAGCCACCGAGCTATTTTCATGAATTATTAACTTTTGGCCGAGATAACACCAAGACAGTGCATTGGATGGAGCTACTGCTGTGTGATGGATAGCACCCTCTTTCTCATGGGAACAGAATTAAACATTATACTAGCTGGAAAAAAAACCAAATGGGCACTTCTAATCAGCACACATGGACATTTTCTCTGAATCCAGTCAGGAGCATGTTTTTAGTCTTTGGTAGTTTGTTTGCTCATACAATGTGAGAGTTGGAATTACTGAATAGCAGAAGAGAGGGGAAAGACTTTACTTCATCCTTCTACTCTATTATTTAAGATTTCTGTTGCTCATGACAACTAAGTGAAGCATTATAGAGAAATCTTTGTAATGAGGGGTTTATGCACTGCAACCCTACTATAATATCCCTCTCTGTGTAACTGTCATTGGGCTGTTCTTGTTGCTTCCTATTAATCTAAATGCAGATGTCTCTTTAGTCACTGTCCAAAAGTCAGACTTTTGGACCTCGTAGTATAAACACATGCATATATCTAATATATAACAGAGTGTCAATAAAACCCACAGAGAGGGTGTGAACCTGTCATGAAATGAGCAAAAGCTACATTTGGAGTATGAGATAGCACAGTAAGATAAGATGGAATGATAAGAGCAAGATAGAAAGATGTGTCACGGAGGAGGAAAAACAGATCACCACCCCTTAAACAAATAGCTTCTAGTGGCTCCTGGTCAGCTGACATTACTGTCGGTGAGATGATAGTGATATCTGAGCACCTAATGCACCACGGTGTCTTTGAACACGATGTTGCATTGCTTACCTGAGGGCTGGGTTAGGGGCAGAATTCCCAGTGATGGTACAGAGGTAAGGTTTGGTGTTGAACTGTGAGATGACCAGCTGGATGGTGACCTGAGAAGTCTCATACTGGAAAGGACTGAAGGTCACCGTGAGCTTCACCTCACCGTTGGCTGGTATCACACCTGCAAGCGCAAAGATAAAACAACAGGGATGAATGGTAGCTGAAACTAATGGAAAAAACAACTGCAATACATCTAAAAGTGGAACAGTTAAAACATCAAGCTTCTGCCAGTCCAAGTGCTAGTAGCACAGGTGCAAACTTGACCAAACCAACCTAAACACTGACAATCACCCACTATTATATCAGTAAAAGTGATACATTTGAAACCTTAGGGGTGCGTCTCTGCAGGGTTACTGGAGCTCATCTGACAGGGCTTATAGGAGTATGAATAAATGACTTAGGCTACAAATAAGTGACAAATGACCTTAAAAATGACTGAGTGTGATATTCGCTGCAACAGAAAATAATAGGTTGAATTACAACTGTGCAACTTTTTTGCTTTTATGTTATGAGCTGCAGATGCTATAACATCGCCGTGGAGAGGAAAATGACAAAAAAATAAAAAAGACAAAAAAAAAGAAAAAGCATTTCCAAAAGAGGAAACTCATTTGTATCTCTTCTACTCATTTGAGGTTCGTACCGAGTTAAAGCTGCAGCAGTAATTCAGATCCCAAGTGCCTTTTCCGCCATGTGTTATGATGCTTCCCAGATCATGAATACTGCTTAATGTCAGTGTGTAGAAACTGGAGGCATCCTTCAAGTTCTGTAGTGACTTGTTTAATACACAAAACATAGCCATGCAAGGTCTTGAGAAAACACAGCTCATCTGCTCTCCAAATGGGATTTGTTCTTTACCTGCCCACCAGCCTAAAATAGTACTATTAATGGAAAAACAACTATATTTATCCATTTAACCTGAAAGGCAAAATCTGAAAATCTGAATTAACGTTGTGTTGAACAGTTAGATAAAGGGTAAAAACTGCAGAATGCCAGTGTGTTATCGTTTAAGGACTACACATCAGCCACAAAATGTGCTGTAGAAATCAATAGAAGACATGTATGGTGTTAAAATGAATGATTTCACTTGACCCTACCTGAAAGGGGATGGATGGAGAACGCCTCATGGGGCTGAATAACATACACCTGGAACTCAAAGTCAATGGGACAGCTGCATCTCAGAGGAATAGCATGGGTTACACTAGAGACAGGAGGACAAAAAAAAAAGATGAGATATATATTTTTTTTATGATCTGACACCAACGGGTGAATAGAAGCATGGTTGGTTGTATGGAAGAATACAAAGAGACAGGAAAGCCCTCAGGCAGATAGGAGGTCAAAAAACAGTCCGCCGTGGATCTCAGCACACACAGTGTACAATATACATACACACAGACACACCTTTGTCCAAGTGGCACGGCTGATAGGTCGATGCGAGGGGGGATGCGCAGGTCATCGATGACAGGGTAAGCATGAACTGGAATTAACAGGTTCTCTTCCCCCTTAGAGAGAGTGTAGGCGGGTTGAATGAACAGAGTAAAGGGAACACGCGAGAGAGAAGAGATGGAGGGTGAAAGAAGCACACAGATAAGAGAGATCTCAGGGTAAACATGGGGAAGTATCCTCAAAAGAGATAAGTTCAGGCAGCTGGGAATTGTTCCTTGTGGTTGTTAGACTGTTTGCCCGACTGTATGTGACATGCTCTAGATTTAGTAGATGGTTGTGTCTTTCCAGTAACTGTAAATGTCAATGTGATGTCCTTTGAGAATCATGTGTGATTAGCACAGCGACCACAGCGGCATACAAACTGCTGGATCCTAACCTTGCAGTGAACTCGAATGCAGTCATAGAAGTAGCGCCACTCATCGGGACAGAATCGGACCTTGAGCGTGTAGGCGAGGCCGGGGATGAGACGATACTTCAGAGAAAACACCAAGAACAAGGTTGAATCATCAGAAACAGCCCTGATTGCACTAACGGACAAGTAGAGTCATAATTTTATATTCAGGTCAGCAATTTGTAATAAAAAAAAAATACCTTTTTCGTGTAAGTTGTTTGGAAGTGCTTGGTTTGGGTGGAAATAATATGAATATTCATAACCTCAGATGAGATGTTGATTAGTTTCTGAGGGAGAGGAAGAGAGGAGAGACAAGGATATTTCATTTCCATCCAATCATACGCACTTGAGAAAAACATTTCCATATTCCTGATGCTTACATCCAGCCTACAGTGACTCATCACACATACAGAAGGTAAAAATCAGTGCCCATTCAATTACATCAAATGTATCCACACTGGAAAACAAATGAGAGGAAGTTATGATGGGATAGGACATTGACAATTATTTTTTAATACTTTATTTTTCTAAATACCACAAACTTGATCTGCCTTTACTGGGTGCCTAAAGTTTACAGAGATTTGCTTAGCCTTTAGGCAGATCTCGGTATACGTGTGTGTCTTTTCACCACTTCACCAAACACTGATTGTAAAATACACAAAAGCATGGCCATGAATTGTGTGTTACTTCTCATTTATCAAGAAGCACAGGAGAGAACTTGTATTCTTTCTCTAGCCATTGAATTTGGCAGATTCCAAAATACTCTGAGGTGTGTGATTTGAAAGAAGTGAAAAGTCCCATTTTCCTTTGTACTGTGCAAATTATGATGATTTAAGAGAGCTAATTTTCCATGAAATTGCCTGAAAAAACCCTGAAATATCCTGGTGTTCACATGATCTGAAATTGGAATGGTTGTTTAATTTGTTAGTTGTTTAAAAAGGGCAAGAATGATTATTTAATTAGTATTGAATTTTCTACACTACTGTATAGTAAATGTTTTTGTCAGTGATTTATAAATTTTGTTAAAGATAATGAAGGTCTGAATACTTTTTTATTGTTTGACTGTGTATATGCATCACTATATTTCTGGCTTTAATGAATTTATGGTGTCTTATGATCCCATGTAGCTGGGCATTAAGGAAGTTGTATGCATGACAAAATAAATGTTATTCATTCATTCATACTATATGACGTGGCATTGCTGTCAGGGCATCAGACAACAGACACATCCCTCCGTGACACCTTGAAAACAATAATTTTTGGACATTTTGAATACTATTTGTCATTGGTCCAAGCAACTGTTCTCACAATAGCAGTCTCCAGTTTCCTGCAAACATACATTCCTGTCACAATAGACTCCAATCAGCTAGACAACCTGCATAATGACTCCACCGTGAATGCAGCATAGCCCTATTACACCCTGAAAAGGACTCTTGTTGATACAATGATACAGCAGACCCTGATGAACAAACACTCCAGTCTTGGACACCAACCGTGTATCGAGGTAATCATCAGGTTTTTCTAATGACGCTATAACACCTGTGTTCATCAGAGTATGAAAAATCAGCCTGGTAACTTCTATTTGTCCTGTATTTAATGTACTTACTTTATTATTCTGTTTTTTTCTGGTCTGTATTGTTTTTGTCTAATTGTATTTCAGACTAAAGAGGAATTAATTGTCATCCTTAATAAACGAATGAAAAATTAAGCTTACTGGCACTATAATATTCATTTAATAAAATAACTTATCAGTAAATTAGCTGTCTAATGTACCCTGTGAATGGGAAATTGAAATGACTAATTGTAAAAACTCAAAGGATATTAAAACCTCAGCAGTATTCTCCTCACCAGAATTTTTAGGTAATCCTTTCCAAGCTCAAACCCACTGAAGTGAAGCTCTGGGGGCTCTGCTTGGATCAGGCTGTTGCTTTTGAGTTTGGCATAGATTTCTATAAAGAAAACATAAAAAAACAAATCACTGAACTTCAATAAGCGTAGTAGAAAACTGACTGAATGCAGGATTATTCACATATGCAGACAGGTTACCAATAAAGAAAATTTGAAATATTAATGTTGCCATTTTGCAGGTTACAAGATAACACGCATTATATAAGTGAGCAGCAGTGTATATAAGCTGCTTGTTACCGTAAAGTTTAATACTAAAGAAAACAGAATTAATGCTCTCTATTAATATGTACTTGACTCCAGTAGATGATTGGGGATGTTGCCTCTGCTCCTGCTCTCCTCCACCAGCTGGCTCAGAGGCAGAGGAGTCCCCTTCCTCAGGGGCTCTGAGAGTATCTGTGGGGCAGAGAGGGCCACCTCCATCCTGGCAAAAGGTCAGCTCTGGCTCCTCATGAGAGAAATGACAAAAGGCTGGAGGACAGTCAAGGAGACACCAATGTGTTGGGAAATACTACGTCAGTAAACCTATGAATATTTTATAAAATATGGAAGGACAACAGGTTATTCAGTCAATTTACTTGGGTACTTTTTAAATTAACTGTCATAATGTTAGCATTACGATGGAGAAAGTTGTGGCAGCACATGCCCTCTACCTCTGCAATATTTGTGCTACCTGCTTATAATATTAATGTTGTATTAATACACACACACACACACACACACACACACACACACACACACACACAGTTGTATAAAGCAATTGGCTACAGACTGTGACAACCCTGACTGCAGCGTTAGCAAGAAAGCTAATGACCCAGATATAATTAGCTACCTAGTTAGCTTAATTAAACTGGTGTTAACTTAAATAGAGGCTACGTAGCAAAGTTTTTATCAGCTTCTAATGAAAAAACTTTTGAGCAACACAACTTCAGGACTTACTTATGTTTTAGAAAATCGAATGGTTTTAGTTAAAAATAAAAAAACAGCCATATTCCCTTTTAATTTCGTACCAGAAACGTTTAGCTACCTTCTCTTAGTGTTGATGACAAAGACCCCACTATCAAACACTGTCGTTGCCATAGTGACGCTAGTGCTCTGAAGGGGCGGGACAAACAGTCCTGTGGGCGCATACGATTTGCTGTCAGCAGGTTCCATTAAACTGCGTCAAAAACTCAAAATAAGACCAGAAGCTAGCCATTTTACCTTCAAAATAAAAGCCTATACTATTACAGCAGTCTGTATTGCATATTATTTGTTTGATTATATATATTATAAACAGATTACATGCATTAACACTTAATTTACTATACATCATTCACCAAATATACCTGTCGTTTTCACATAGATGTATAATATTTATTTGTGCCCATGAAAAAATACTTTATTCTGAAAGCGACGACAGGACGCCCCAATTTAAATTATAGCTACCTTGATGAAGGGGCTTATCAGAATACTGTGCATAGTTATCGACACTCTGAGGAGGCCTATGTTTGATTTTCAGACCTCATATATCTGCTACATGGCAGGATGCTTGCTTTTCATTCTAATCATATATGCGGCTTGAGGTCCGGACGTAGATGCCTATCTTGATGGAAAAAAGGAACCTGTTTGACACCATGAAAAAAGTTGGACTTATTGGAGTGTTGCTGCTACCACAGGTGAGAAAAAAAGAGATGCATATTTGAGTTGAATCTGTGAAGAAAAAACATCTTTAGTGCATTATTACCTCCGTCTTTTTTATAGGCAAAATCATCACCAGGTTGTCATCCTCACGTTAATCTTGTGAAAGAGGAGGAAAAGTGCATGACAGATGTGCTAATTTTTAAGCCACAAAAAGCAACAGGTAAATCCATACTGTTTCTAAACTTACTTTATACTTATAAAAAAAAAATACTGAATAAATGGATTATTGCTCGGGGGAAAAAGTTCCATTGAGAAAAATGTTGATCTCTGAAATGAATGAAGTTTTTGCAAACTACAGAAATTTGATGCAGAGTTTTAGTGACACCTAATGGTCATATGACATAATGCAGCCAGAGAGCAGCAGGCACAAAACACATTAGAAACAGAATGCATATTATTTTGAAGGATCAAGATTGTTGCAGATATGGTGGTTTTGTTTTATCCTGCAAGTAAGACCATTGCAGCACAAGAGTCATATATTTATTTATTTATTACTTAATTTATAATGTGTTTCCATAATGTATACAGGTTCCCAACAAATCAAAATCAAAATAAAAACATGTCATTTCTGTTCCGTCTATTAAGAAAACAATATCAGTGTACATTGTAAGGGAATGTGGGATGATCTGAACTGCTGGCCACCTGCTTCTCTTGGGGAAACAGTTTCTCAACCATGTCCAGAGTTTTTCAATTCAGAAGGTGAGCCACTACACATGCGCACCCAAACACACAAACACAGTGACGCACATTTACAAACACCCATTACGCATACCACATTGCACTGGTTAATTATTTGCCATGAAACTCTTTTGTTTTCATACTGAACTGAGAAAGCTTCTCCCTCTTTGGGTCTCTATCCAAATATTTAGCCATAAAGTGCTTGTGTACATAGAGACACTGGGAAACACATTTGAGTGCTACATTTACATTGATAGATGATAAAGACAGATTTCATAATAATTTATTTGATGAACCAGAGGTTTATTGAGGCACCTGAAGAGGGAAAGTAATGGTTTCACAGCTGCCCAATAAATCTATGAACACAGATCTGCACATTATAAAGACCCCTAACCCCCCATTGCTAATCTGCAGGGACAGTACATCGCAACTGCACTGCCAGTGGCTGGACAGACCTACTCGTCCCACACGAAGACGCATGTGGCTACACCTTCAATGAGACGCTCCACTTTCTCAGAGAGGTTGGTGGTATCTAATATACAGACAATGTGGTAGTTTATCCAATATATTGCTTAACTATGAGGCACAATTTCACCCAGTCATGCATTAACAACTGAAAGAATTCTGTATCCCTATAAATAGTATTTCTATGCATCCCACCAAGTCTTTGTACTTTATGAACTGCACTGCCTTCGGGCTAAATTTCTAACTTAATTGCCTGACTTTCCGAATCCTAAATTATGCATAAATTACAGGTCACTACGAGCAATAAAGTGTTCCTTCGGGTTGTCAAGTCCCGGCACGGTGGTGGTTTTAAATGGTTGGCATTGTTAGATGTGCTGTCAGATCACACTGCTTTGAAAGTGATTAGCATTGTTCTCTTTCATTTGTTCAGTCCTCAGATTCCCATTTGTACTTCTCCTACGTGAAGACCATGTACACAGCTGGGTACACACTCTCTCTCATCTCTCTCACCATCGCCATCACCATATTCTGTCTGTTCAGGTAAGACACTTTTCTTTTCCTCTCAACTGAAGAATCATATCGTTGTATAACCTTAAACTGTGCGAGTTCATATTTGTTCAGGAAGCTGCACTGTACCAGGAACTACATTCACATCCAGCTCTTCATCTCCTTCATCCTGAGAGTCATCTTCATCTTCATCAGAGACTATCTGCTGTTTACCAATGAGGAGCTCTACCACTGTGACTACTACCCGGTATGAATGGATGAACTCATCTTTTACAAATGACGTCACCGTGTCACTTAAAGATGCTTCCTGCCTGACACTAACTCGCCTTTTCTCCCTGTGCGACAGGTGGCTTGTAAGGTCGTTCTAATGTTCTCCAACTACTCCATCCTGGCAAACTACAGCTGGCTGCTGGTGGAGAGCCACTTCCTCTTCACCCTGGTGAGCCGCTCCTTCTTCTCCCTGAAGAAACACCTCGCCTGGTACATCGTCCTGAGCTGGGGTAGGGACAAACAAGCGCACCTCACATTTCCACAGCTCAGTATAGCAAATACTGACTCTGCACCTTTTTAGATTTAACCAAGATTTATTTCATCTCACAGGTTTACCATTGCTTGTTATTGTCTCCTGGGGGTGTGCCAAGTTTTTTTATGAAGATGAAGGGTGAGGGGGCTCAACATCTGCTTCACTCATTCATTTCAAAATAATATTACAGTATAACTTTGACAGTTATTTATTTCTTTGCCAAAGATGTTGGGAAACCAGAAGCCATGAATGGATTTGGTGGATACTTCGAGTCCCAGTTCTTCTAACTATATCTGTAAAAAGTTTCTTTTTTTACTTCAATTTAATTAGTTTTAAATCATTATTTTTATTTAAAAAACAGTTCCACATTTTGTGAAATACACCTATTCACCTTCTTCTCAATGGTCAGATGAGAAGATACCACGCTCATATCTAAATATGACCCTACAGCTAGCAGCTAGTTAGCTTAGCTTAACAATAAAGCCTTGAAACAGGGCGATAGTTACCCTGATTCTGAGCAAACTAAGATTAAGAAAATCCAGTCATCATTATCTCTTAAACTCAGACTAGATTATATCTATCATTACTATTTCAGACCAGTGACCGCTAGTTCCCTGGCAACCTCACAGGGATGAAAAAACTCCCAGGAAGTCACTGCAACCCGTCAAAAAACCGTGTGTGAATAGGCGTATTTCCCAAAATGTTCCAACTATTTTCATCACAAGAAAGCATAACAACTGTGTTCACAGGTTTTAATCCTTTCAGATGAACCTCATCTTTTTCTTGGGAATTTTGAGGATACTGGTGAGCAAACTGAGGATGCCGGTTGCACAGAGGAACGAATTCAGCCAGTACAAGTGAGTAGTGATCTCACTAGTGTGGTATTGTTGCTCCTTCATATCATAGATCTGATATGTAAAGTCGAGGGCCAGTAGCTGTTTCTATATGTAAGAAATAGGTCATGTATTATTCATAGGATAAAAGAGCAAAGACTGATCCTATTTGCTTTGTTAATCCAAGTAAAAGATATACTATGATTTTAAGCCAAACGTATAGTGGTTTCCATGTCAGTGGTTCAGGCATTCATGTAGAGACTGAGATAAGAGTTTCAGCACATTGGGCACTATCTCAGAAAAAGGTGTGACAGCTGGGAAGACTGCTATTCTATTTACTTCATTATTAATGAAAGAAAATGCCTTCCTTTTCTTTCACCAGGAGGCTGATCAAATCCACATTTTTTCTGGTGGCCCTGTTTGGTCTGCATTACATCCTGTTTGTTTTCTTACCTGTTGAAGTCAGCAGCACGGTCTTTAAGATATGGACCATTGCAGAGTTGGCTCTGTCATCCACGCAGGTAAATTATTTGTATGCATAAGAGAGCTAAAGCATCCAATTAACTCAGAGTAATGATAAATACAGCTACACTCACTGACCTTTCTCTCTTCACATCTGTAAGGGTTTCGTGGTCGCTGTCCTTTATTGCTTCATGAATGGAGAGGTAAGAACTTGTGCCAATTAGAGACAAAACTTCCTGAATGAAATGTGGGTTTTGAGTAACTTGAGGACCTGTGTTCATGTTCTTCCAGGTGCAGCATGAGATTCAGAGGAGGTGGAGGAGATGGAGGCTCACTCAGCACCTGCCCAGTCGGCGCCGGCAGCATCACAGCTCCATCAGCCACAGTGGGACTCCTCAGACACAGGTCTCCCTGCTGCCTTGCTCTCCAGGCAGCCCGACAACCGGCGGACTCCCCGTGGATACTGTGGAGATGTGACTCAAGTGGGGACTGGCTCATTTTCTCTCACTTCTCATCAATACATAATGGATCTTGGCTTAGTACAGACTGTCAATTAGTACACCACAGCAGCTTGAGTGTTAAATACAGTGGTACTGCAAAAATGCATATTTTTCTAATCCCTGCAGTGTTTTTATTTAACAACATGATTTTTTAATGTTCAAATGTCATAGATAAAATTTACATTTATGTCGAGATGTTTGAGATTTTGGCAGACAGAATTTGGTAGGAAACCAGAAAGACTATCCATCCACCACCCACAGTTATGGAGATATTAAAACTCTGTAAAATGAAATTAAAGGGGCCACTCCAGGAATGGTTAAAATTGATGCAGTAGATGCCAAGATATGCTGGCTGTTTGCTATTCGTGTGGTTATAAATAAAGTTCTTATTATTATTATTATTATTATTATTCTTATTCTTATAAAGAATTCCCCTATAAACTAAGTAAAACCTGCTTCTGAGGAACACTGATTTGCTTTGATACCAGTGACTTCCTGGAGTCTTGTCGTATCATTATAGTGGTGTCAGACAGCTAGCAGAGCCTCTAGGAAGTCACTTTGCCGGCCGACAAAAACAGTCCAGCACATAACGCCGCATTAAAACCAAACTGTGCTCATTCCAGCCGTGCGTGGGACGAAGAGTTTCTTCCGCAGATGAAAGCGGTTAAACTGTTGACAGAAACACGTCTGAAGCCCAAAAAACAAGTCTTTATTTTTGATAGCCAGTCCTGTACACAGATGCTCTGAAAATGATATACTGTATTTGCACTTAAGAGAATAGTTTGACATTTTAGGAAACACACTTTTTCATTTTCTTGCCCAGAAAAAAGCTAAGAAAACAAATGGGAAATATTTCACTGAAATTACAACAGCTTTGTGAAAAACAGACTCTAGATTCCGTATTTTGCCTTTAGCTTCTCCACCAGTTCCACATAGGCAGCCATCGCTTCATCTGCGGACAGTCCTGTTGATTTAGAAACAGAAACAAACAAATACATTTTTAGGCATGTCGGTTTTACAGTATGTTGAAACTCTCCTTTGATTATTGCTGTTTTTTGTTTTGTTTTTTTTTTTAACTTCTATAAATCTTACCTTTCTTTGCATCCCATGCATCCCATTTTGCTTTTCCTGTGAAGTCAAGCATCCCTGGACGCGCTGTGGAAATAAAATCAACCATCAATATCATAATAATAATAATAATAAACACTACAATACAGACGCAACACAGTTTCCTCTTACTAAATGCCACACAGGTGAGTTTAATTTTCAGTTTCTTGGTTCAGTATTCTGATCTATCACATGGGTAAATGTTGCATACTCCACTACTTGGGGGTGAGGAGTTACATTCTGCAATTAAAAACTTCCACAGTCGGTATTTTAAAAGCCATTTCCAGAATTTTTAGATTTGGTATATTTTTAAATTTGACTGTTTTTAGACCAATGGAGAAGTAAATATTCAGCATTTCTCCACCAGAATCTTAAACTTTGAAATAACATTTAGACCTCAGCATTGGGAACAAAACACTGAACACTTCAATAATAATTTAGCTCAGTGAGAAAAATCAAATTTTTTTGTGTTTTAAAATAGTAAATGTGCATTTTTTGTCTAAAAATGTTTCTTCCATCAATGATCATAAAAATGTAAAAAGAAAAAAGAAAGAAAGAAGAAGACAAAGAAAACAAGCAGCTTAACATAAATTTATCAGTTTTGGCATCACTCGTAAAATGACACCAAACTTGTCAGCCCTCATTTTTGTCTCCACCCCAACTGGAAGTGTTCCTGTGCACAGGTGTGGGAACTGTCTTCTTCAGTGTTTCCATACGAATTCTACAGCATTAAAAAGCCTTAAAAAAAAAACAGTTACACTGCAGTGACTTACCTATGTTAACATCACCAACTGTGCCTTGTTTATAAAAACCATAAAGTGCAGCCAGTTCTCCATGGTCTGGTTTTTGTTTCAGTACCTTCACCTCCTCTGCTGCTTTGTTAAAGGATTCCTGGTGGGGGGGGGGGGAAACAGATCCTACTTACTTATGCACTAACCTTGGATAACGCAGTGTGAATTTCATTGTACTTGTTCATTAATCAGGAACAAGTTTAGACGTAACGCTTCATTACATTTACACGAGACTACACGTGCAGCTAAGCAGAGCGACTCCTGCTCTGTAAGGATTTATTACAGTCCGCATGAATGTGGGTTAATCAACTCCCCTGAGAGATCACTTACTAGTACCATAAATCTTTCATGAAACACTGTAGGAAATGAATAAATTCAAAAGAGATCATACTTACAGTCATGACTGCAGTGAGAGACACACCTTTCTGCTGCTGAATGCACTCCCCAGTTGTCAGTCAGGGCTCGTCCAACTTGTCCTGCAATAACTTTCTTTGTCTGCGTTGGGAGTTGCTGAGGAAAATGAAGCCGGACGTAGGTTTGTTGCGTCAACACTGTCAGGAAAGGAAGCTGTGTCTCTGTTAATATGGAAACTGTATACTCTGACATGACAACTAGTTTTTCATTTTTCATTCTTGAAGTGTTATATCTTGAATCTTGAAGTCTAAATACTTGGTAATGCCATGACTTATATTCCATGATAATCATTTTTCATTCTCATGTTACCTCTAGTTCACACTGCAGGTTTCCAGTTATACCTGCAGTACTGCAAAACAGATATTTTTAATAAAAACTTCAAGCTTCTTTCATACATTTAATAAGAAACCTTCAGCTTTTTGGAAAGCATGTTTCATATGACTTGTTGACTTTGTTATGATGAAGCTGCATTAAAACTTTTCTCCTGTTATTGATGTGTTTTCCAAAGCACACATCCACATTGAGGAAAATGTTTTCAGCTTGGCGTTACAAGAGAAATACTATTTCTCCACCACAAGGTGGCAGCATCCACATATCCAATGATACGATGGGTTCATTGCTGCTGCACACCTTGGGTAAAATTTAGACTACTTTTAGCTTTTACTCAACTTTGTAATGGTGGATATCAGTCAAATCTTTAACACTACAAGTCTTAAAAGAAGTTGATGAATAAATTTCTATGATTAAATGAGCTGCAAATGTGTTTCACATTATTAAAGACCTACGTAGAGGAAATACAGTGAAAACAATTGTAGAAAAATTCTTTATTCTATGTTCTTGAAATTTCCATTTGAAATCTTTACATTCGTATCTTTATGATAATAGACACTATCTTAAATTTCAGTACACTACTAAGAAATGTTAATTTAGATTCAGAAAACATATTCATCAGGTAACAGGATCAATCTTTGGCAAGAACACAAGACTGAGAAAATACAAACTCACATAAACCATGAAAGAAACTGCTGAAATCACAAAACAGCAGCAAACTGTGTGTTTTCTTCCCGTTGTTAAAACAATAAAGTTCTGCAACAGCTCACTGAGCTAAATATGATGCACTGATGGGAGATTACCAGGACGTCAGATTAGTACAACACTAAAAAAAAAAAAAATCATCAATAACAAGTAAAAAGGAAAAAACAAAAACAAATGTAGATTTGTTCAATGTTGTTGTACAATGTAAAACGACCCCCAGCAGCCAACTGCTTCAGATATGAACAACACCTGAGTAAGGGACTGTATGAAAATTATTAGTGGGGGTGAGTGGTCAGAAAATGGGGGCAACTATTGTCATATGACTTTTGTGAGAGGCTTCTTTTTTCTTCTTCCTCTGTATTTCTATTTTCATTCAACTTTTCCCCCATGTGAGATTTCTTATCAAAGAAATTACATGAAAATATTTAACATTAAAAAAGAAGAAGATTTTCCTGTGAGACACGGCTCATAAAAAGATAAAAAGGTGTGTTTTGCAATATGCAAAGGACAACAGTCACGTTTCTGTGTGAGGGCTTTGAGAAAAAAAAGACATGACGTTATCGTGTTTCCTTTTCCCATGAGCCTCGACAGACAAGACACTTTGTTTATACATATATTGTATAAAACCAAGAGTGAGGTAAAGCAAAAGCTTCTAACACAGTATGTGTTGGTGACGCATATTGTGAAAATGAATGTTAATTTATTTCATGTTTAAACTGTCATCTTAGTTCTTTAAGGGAAACCATTTCACCCATTTTTATTTTATTAGTTTTTGAGTATGAAGTACTCGTTTAATGGTTAAAGGACTGAAGTTTACAGGGTCCAGAGAAAATATTCATAATGCCGGGGAAGGTCATGCTTTTTAAAATAGTGGAACATAAGAGTTAGCCCCCACCCTCCCCACCATAATCGTTTTCATACAGCCCACAACACTATAAACGAATATGACAGCATAATGAAATTTCATAGTTTGAGAATAAAACCACCACTGACATCTAATCAGTGAAAAACCTCACAACAAAATGAAGTTTCATTTTTGTAAGTGGACAGAACAAGATGATCGGCTGTGTTGAAGGCTCTTTTTACAAAACTCTGTACAGAACAGAAAAAAAAGTATCAAAACCTTTAAACTGGAAAGAAGAAAAAGGCCAAGTCCATTTCTGATGATCAGACTGAAGAAACCTTACTCCAAGGACTCGAGTTATGAACTAGTGTAAAATTCAGTTGTACTGCTTCGTGTTCAGCAGGTTCATGAGACGTGTAACAGTGACTGTTTTGCATAAATTAAACCAGAAACTAAAATTTTTCTTTAGTTCCAGGTTGAAATTTCAAACTGAATGTCAACAGGAAACAATAAATTAAAGTATAAAGTACAAAGAGGAACTAAATACTGATTATTTGAATGCATAGTGCAAAAGGCTGACCACTCTCCTGGTCAGATATCTCTAAGGAACTACCAGCTAATTATATAACACTTTCAACAGGCCATAGAAAGAAGCCTTCACTACATTCCAACGATGTATAAATCTTTCATCTTCTGTGCGAGTGTTGCTGAGCGCGATATTCGTGAGTGTGCACACACAAAGAGCTCTACGTTGACACCTTTTTTGTCTGGATCTTCATTCACACATCTAAAGAGGTGTTTTTTTTCACACATTACTGACATCCTCCAGCCCGTTGTGGCAGTCGTCGTTCGGCAGGGTGAAGCGGATGTGTCGGCTCCTCTCCCAGCCGCGGCGGATCTGCCGGAGACGCCCGGCCATGCAGGGCACGAAGAGAAGCAGGCGGCCCAGCAGAACCGTCAGCGGAAGAATCAGGACCAGTACGAAGGTGGGGGGCAGGCAGAAGCGGTACTGGGCCGAGTCGAAGGCACGGCCCCAACCAAAGAGGAGTGTGTGGAGGGTGGCCACGGACAAGGCGCAGTAACCTAGCGTGGACTGCAGGAGGGGAAACAAAGGGTGTCACAGGTTGTTACTATTACACTCGTCCTGTCCTCTAAAATACACGACCCACATTGTTTTAAAGAAAGATTAATTTTCCCTTGAAGTGAGTCCAGCCAGTCTACGACATCAGCTCACTGCAGACTGAGGAAACACACTGACCTACCACTCATGACCTGAACGAGGGCCACATCATGTACCTGCAGGGTACCGCTAATAAAAACTCCCCAAGGTTGACTCAGGTAGAGGCCAGGGGTTTAAAAACAGCCTCATTCTTCCTCCTGCATTCACTACATGGACTGAGTGGTTCATTTAATTTTAACTTTGAAGACAAATACACAAACAACAAAGAGTCAATTACTTTAACTCAGAAGAAAAAAGGCTGTGAGGAAACTAATCTGTCCATTCCTCTACTGGGGGGGGTCAGGAAGCAACCAGAGCTTATTTTTTTAACTGGCAGATATTTGTTGAGGTGTCTGATTGAAAGTTAAACAGGAAAGGTATTTTTTTTTAAAAAAGGATCATAATTATTCCTATTGTGACATTTTATTACAGGGATTTCAAACTACTGAGGGGGAACAGCAGCAATGTGAAAACGTGTTATTACTCCGAGTCCACCGTCCGCAATGTAAGCATGAAATCCCCTGTACTGAAAAGATACAGATGACATCATCCTGCATCGTCAGAGCTATACAAACATATGTGGGGAAACCTGACAGAAAGCCATCTGCACTCTCCTGCTCCTTATGTGTTTGTTTATTTTCTCAAGAGCCACGAAAAGCTGATCCAAGAAATAGCTGATCATCAGCATTATCAATCAGGACTCAAGAGTCGAACACACGCTCAACACTTCACCTTTTGACAGTATTTCACAGCTGCTTTGGCTCGAATGTTGATGTGCACTGCGTTTTCTAAAAGACGGAGAGTTTCGGTCTGATCCCCAACCAGCAGTGTCAACTCACTCAGAACATGCAGGTCAAGTGGACGATGCTCTGCCTTCAGGGTGTAATTGGTATGTCCTGAATGAGACTGATGCTCAGACACAAACACAAAACACAAGTACATCTCTCTCTTACTCACACTCATACACACACATATATGCACAAAAGCAAGTATGCACTCTCTCCCTCATCCACACACAAGCAGAGAGAGTAAACAGCAGTCATGGACACACTGTCCTGCAGCTGTGTGCAGCAAGAGTAGAAGTGCAGGGCAGGAAGACGCCTTACATCGCCCAGGCTGTCGGGACATGACTAATCTGACGGCCACAGGATTATGGAGAGATGAAAGGAGATAAAAAAAAAACAGAGGAGAGGAGGAGAGGAGGAGGAGAGGAGAGGAGAGGAGAGGAGAGTGAGTCACAACACTCCTGATGGCTCTGCCACAGCCCAACACCAAATCTGGGGCAGCTGCAGGAGGACAAACACTTGGAGTCAGTGTTTGTATGTGTGTGACTGCAAGACCATGTGAGCATTATAGTATAGGAGAAATAGCTCAGAGCTGTCTACACATCAGCCTGACACCTGTCCGTCTATGTGTCAAGCTTTGTGCGTGTGTGTGTGTGTGTGTGTGTATATACCTGTATGAAGCTGAACTCCCTCCAGTTGACGGTGTTGGCCACTGAGGGCAGCGAGGTGACAGCCAGCAGAGAGAGCAGCCCGAGGGCCATGATGCCCACAGAGAGGTACAGCTCCATCCTCCACACCTCCTCGTCAACCCACGAGTTCTCCGCATTGTCCTTCACCTGGACGATAAACAAACACAGAAATCATCAGTGTGTCCTGCTTATGTAGCCACAATCAGGTTTGATATAAAACTGTGCCAGCAGTTTCTTTTTTTTTTAGCTGACGCATGAACACGCTGATTAAAGCAGAACAATAGCACACTGATTTCATGTAAGTGGAACACGTAATTAATTATTCTTCACGGCATTGCAATCGTTTGTTTCCGAGATCAAAGGCCAGAAACGTTGGTCAACTGTGCAGCTGCCTCAGTATAAACCAGATCTGAACCTGTAACTGCAACTTACTTTTATAGGTTAAAAAAACAAACAAAAAAACTTCTCTTTCGATTGACAAATCAATTGATCAAGCAATCACTGCAGCTCTGCTCGCTGGCAGTTTGGTAATACATAAGAGAGAGGAGAAGGCCAGAGATTTTGTCAGTGTCGGACTCAACGAGGTTGTGGCTATTTCCTGGGAAATTGAGCTGATCCCTTCAGGCTGTGACTCTCTCATCTGTTAAGCCAATGAAAGCACCAGAACTAGCTTTGATGCTTCCTGCACAGACTCCTCTCACCTGTTTAAAAGCAGCGTTGAGAAGTTTGTAGCGAGCAGACTTCCTCATGGGAAGACACAGGCTGTAGATGGCATGCAGGACTGCACACAGGAAGCTGCACAGCCCTAACTGCTTCCTCCTGGTTAGCCACCGGTCCAGCCAGTCGGGGAATCGATTGTACTTGGTGCCCCACCACAGCTGGAGGAAAGCGGCGCACAAACCAGGCACGTAGACCAGCGCCAACATCACCAAGGCCACGGAGGGAAGAGTGACATTGACAGTCTCAATGGGCATTTTGTAGAAAACACTCTTCCTTGCCGTGACGAAGGGCTGCAGGACGTCACGGGTGAAGTTGTACAGGTAGAAGAAGATAAACAGGGCCAGGGTGCAGATGATGGGAATGCGCCAGGAGGGAAAAAGATAGAGGGGGAGGTTTTCGATCTCCAGAGAAGAAGAGAGGAGGCCCATGTCGACAGGGATGAAGCCCATTCTGCGACACAGCTGCATCACTGAGCTCTTGGCCTTGTGATTGTCACTGCACAGGAAAACCTGAGGAGAAAAGACGACAAAAAAGATGGAATTTTTTCTCTTCCTAACTCCTTAAATCTGGACTCTTCCATCCTCTTTTTCCCCCCCAAACACATTTGATTTTCACATCCGAAGTATCACTTGACTTCCATGAAGCTGAACTATAAGGGGCCTATAAGTGTCCTACCTGCCTGCTCCCATCCCGAGGGCCCATCTGGAGCGTCCAGGCCGATAAGGTGTTAAACCCTTTGACGACAAAACTCTCCGGAAACAGATCGGCCAGCTGTTCGGCATTTGAAGGCCCGTCTCGGTTGATCTGCAAACTGTTGCTGACGTCCACCAGTGTCTTCCCAGCCAGTGCTGGTTTTAATTGAACCAGCGTGGAGTGGTGCTCGGGGAACACAGCTACAAAGACCAGGTCCGCTTGACTGGCTGCCTCCATCTGGGAGGTCACCTGGAAGACAAAGAAATGAAATGGTCATGCTCTACATTCAGAGGAGTAGATGCAAGTTAGAAGCACATTATAATAATCACATTATAATAATCACATTATGATATATATATATAGTAAAGGTGTCATAAATACTCATACAGCTTTTCTCAAAAAAGGTTACAAAATGCACTGCTGTAAAATATTAGACATCTGGTTGAGGGAATTATTTTTAATGCTGAAATTGACAGATACTTACACACTGACTATGCAGAATGGGAAGCTTTAAATATCCTGGATTAACTGCTTTACACTGTTCCCATGCCACAACTTTCTGTCATCTTGAACTAAGATTATCTGGTAGCTTTGTATTCAGGATAATCACAACAGTTATTATATGTAGTGGGGAAGAATCTGAGTAAAAACATAATTATCATCCATGAGAAGAGAAACAAAAACACCAATTACATGGTGTCATTGTGTGAGTGTGTGTGTGTGTGTGTGTGTCACCTCAGCCTCTTCAGGGAACAGAGCCACAGAGCGTTTGGGGGTTCGACTTCCCACCACCACTTGGTAGCCAGAGGCCACCAGCCTTCTGGCCAGTGAGCGAGAGAAGTCGCCCGTACCCACAATGCCAATCACTGGAGCGCCGGGCTCAGACACGGAGGCTTCAAGACGTCTGGAGCGTCCTCCTTCGCCTCCGCCTCGGATTAAAGGTCTCGACATCTCATCAGGCATAACGGCACTGACAAAACTGCAGAGAGAAGACACGAGTCCTGGTTTTGGCTTATGTTTATTTACATCCACATGCAGATGTACAGCCAAGAGACAATGATAACTAAGATTTAAGATGATATTAATATTTACTTACAGAAACTGATGTGTTAGATCTAGATGGTAGAAGCTATTTCATCCAGAATTGGACCTAAAATAAAAGTAATAGCAGTAGAAGATTTATAAACATGCAGGTGAAAGACATTTAGGACAAATCTGCCAATATATTTCTATCTAGAACACAGAGCTAGGATTCCCACTGCAGTTCCCGAGCAGTGAGTGGCCATCCAGCTCTGATATAAATGGTTACCCCAATTACACTAACAAGCTAACTGCGTGGCTAACCAGCGGGCTTAAACACATAATGACATTAATATTAACTTCATGCACATTTAAACTACAACAAGTCTGTCATCCCGCCCCATTAGCCTCCCACACCAAAGACCGGTGCTGCTTTGGAAATCATCCAGGAGTCTGACGAATACACCAGAGAACCCCCACATTTCAGAAACCATCTGAAGTAATGTTGTGTCACTAATTAAAATGGACCGGCAAAAACGATTAAACGTTAAATATCCAGAAATCCACATTCATTCTCTTCAGATGGCGAAGCAGGCTGAAGCCACCTTGCTTGTTGTCCTTGACTGAACTCGTGGAAACTTTACATCCGAATAAAGTTCCCCTCCTTCACACACAGGACGACACAAGCACGCAAAGAGGTTCGTACTGATAAAACAACACCTTACATGACATAATTTAGCTTCTGTTAAAAACCTACAGCGACACTTTTACTCATTTTCCAGTTAGTTACTCACCGCGCTTCTCCACTCTCTGTGAACTGGTGCGCTTCTTCCTGATAAGATGACGCAACGGTCAAGGCCACGCCCCAGTCACGCCTCCGCGTGTGCGTACAAGATAAAGCAGAAACAATGTGCTCACAGATATATAAATACACCACTTCACACACTGTTCAGATTACAACAAGAACAACAGTAACCTATTTAAGTTTATGTAGCAGGAGGGAGGAAAGGGAAAGATGGAGGTATAAGAGACAGAGAAGATCAAAAAGAAGCAGAATTCAGTGAACAAACATCAAATAAAAGGTATAAAATCAAGACGAAGCCAAAGAAAACAATTGTTTGAGGAAGTTTTTTTAAGCTGTGCAGTGATTTAGCTTCTCTGAGATTTTGTGGGAAGCTGTTCCAGAGTCAACATGTACACAGGGAACAGCACTGGACTCAGAATTAAACCCCTGTGGCTCAGCATGAACTGTAATGGGTGATCAATTAACCTTTAATCCGTCACCTCCATCATCAAGTCAAAATTTCCAATTATGCTTTGTGCTAATTAGTAAATGTTAGCATGTGAACACACTAAGCTAAAATGGTAAACATCAGCTCGTTAGCATCATTGTAAGCATGATGACATTAGCATTTAGCTCAAACCTCGACTGCGTTGAAGTATAAGCTCAGAGCTGCTAGCATGGCTGTAGATTCATATTATAACAGTAGTTTTAGTTGTGTCTCCCAAACTGTTTGGCGATGTGAGTAGATTTTTAATTCAGGACCACCACAACCACCCTCCCACCCCCCGGTTGCTGTAGAGCTGGTGTATACCATGAGCTGGCCTTGGGATTAGAGTAAAAAAGCAAAAGCAAAATCGTGTTAAAAAGATGTCTGACTGCAGGTTACACACTGTCAACATGACTTCATCATGTCTGCCTTTGCCACTTGCAAAAGGTTGAAGCCCCCCTGGCTCGGAGTGCAGCATCAGTGCCACCCCACACACACACACACACACACACACACACACACACACACACACACACACACACACACACACACACACAGACAGTCACACAGACAGTCACACAGACAGTCACACACACTGAATGCATGCTCGCCTACCCTCTCTCGGCCATGTTTGTTTACAGTGCTTAAGGTCACAGTCCTTGACATACATATCTGATTTTTAGTCTCTTAATTCATAGTTATTGATTAGTGGTGTCTCACAATGTGGTAACTCATTACGTTACCATCCACTGAGGACAGATTTCAGCTCCTACACTCTTTAAAAGAAGCCTGGTGGCCTGGACTGACAACCCTAAAATGAACCCTGGTCCAACATGCAACAAGTCCAGTTAACGAGGGCAAAGCACGTTTAATGGTTATTTACTGTGTAAATGGGTTGGATGTGAAATATCGCGGCAGACAAGGCAAGGTCATGAACGGTTAGCCTGAGGCAGACAGGTACAGCTATGTGAACATCTGACAGGACTTCACTGTCAAAATGTTACATGGAGGAAGACATTTGTTTCTCCACTCTCAAGGGCGGAGGTGTCTTCAGTGCCCTTCATCAGGGATTAGGGTCACATGTTGAGACAGCAGCTGATGTTGCAAGTTCTCGTCGCTGTCTTGTTGTGGTTCGGGGAAGGTTTCCACACAGATTTACAGTAACACCCTGTGATGTTTTAAATGAGTAAATACTGTGTGTTTTGATGATGCAGAATTAAGGAAATCACAGTGATTCCTCTGTTGATTCATCTTGTAGTAAAAAATCATACTGATTCAAGTCTTTCTCTGGTGACCTTGCAGCAGATGCTTAATTAGAGGGTTGTCATCACTTTTTTAAGGTGGCCATGACAGCTCAACACAGTACAACTAAAGAACGGCTGAGCTAAATCAAACATGAGCAAATGGACAAAACATCTTCAACAATTTAGTAATAAGTAAGGCTAATGCTAGCTGTATAGAAAACACCTGCAACGATATCTGAGTCGTGCTATCAGTGTTGAAACTAAAATAAACACTACGAGGAAAGTCTACATTTAAATTTAGCACAAATTTTAATTGAATCTCCAGAAAATTCACTCCTCTACTTTCTACTCCACTGTGTTTCAAATGAAAACAGCAAATAATCGGCTTTTAAAATAAGATGCATTGTTTTACTCTTGACCAGGTGCAACATTAAAATGCTGCTTACAAGTTTATGCATCAATATCAATGAAAACAACAATAATGAGGAATGTAAATACCATGTAAATACTTCCTGGATTCTTCATGTTTAGACTGTAAATACATTGAATTGCTATTGTATCATAAATAGTCTCAAAACTGGGGTTAAATCTAATTTGGTTGTGTTTTCTTCGTTAAGCTACACATGCTTTATTGATTGTGTTTCTAAATTTGTCACCTTTATTACTTTGCAGCATTTTCTCAATGCTTAATTTGTTTTTAATTTCCTCATTTGCTTGTGTTTTACCTCTAGCTGCAGCACTTCGAGCTCTCGTTCTTCTTGTCCCCTCCCCTCAGTGACATTAAACAACCGCACAACGAGAACAGTCGTCATGTTCCAGGTTTTACCTGATCACACACAGTTTAAAGTCTGATTCATTTTTCTCACCATATGGTTTGTGCATATCACACGGCAGAGCATCACATGCAGCGTGATTACCAGCGTGGCAGCACCACAGGGCAAGAAAATCTGCTGCTCCAGTGTATAATGTGGACAGTGTGTCGTGCTTGGCTCACCATAGCCTAAAGGTACAGTTCACTGTACTAATCACAAATAAAGGTCATTTCTCCAGTCATGTAGGAGAGTTGGGAGCATAATGTGCTCTGTATGCCGTTCTGCGTGCTTATTTTTAGAGTATTGCTTTGTAGATGATTATTGCACTGTTCATTTCAGATTAAAAGTCTAAAACATGACAGGACATTTCCAGCTTTGCCCGGACGCTCAGATCCTCAGAAACTAACCTCAATTTCATTTTTTGACCCGGCTCTCATGACTTCTCGTGCTCGCTCTCACCTCCAGGCATGAGCAGCCCAGCCGGAGCCATGTTCTGGGGAGTTAAAGCTGAGCCGAGCACAAGTTGAAATTGCTTAGTGTGAGGGGGGGGGGGCTTCTGCAGGGCTGCAGCTAAGCCTTGTGTCCGGCCTCTGAAGATTTCTTCACGTTGCCCTGAGCTTTAAAGCCTCTGCCGTGGATGTGGTGCCTGTGCTGCAATTCTAGGTGCTTAGCTCCCAACCAACAGGTTTGAAGTAGGGTCCTTTGAGGGAATTTTTGAGCTTGAGGATAAAATCAATAGACGCTTTTATTTTCAATGAGCATAGGCTCTTTCTATTGAGTGTTTCAAATATAATAATAACAGTTTTATTTAGCTGATGTGCTCATAAACCACATGGTTACAACAAGTGCACAGCGGCTTCAGTGAGAAAGAACGGAGGCTAAGGGGGTATTTAAGACAAATCTGTATTCAGTAGAGTAATGATTGCTTGGACACAGCAAGAATTTTAATTGGTTGTAGAATCTAAATTCAAGGCCAGTGGCTCTCCACCGCGTGAAACAAGACATCAAATATGTCCCTGCAGCTGGGGAGCTTGGGGCTGGAGGTGTCGACAGCCGTCAGACATTTCTGGTCCATTTCCTGAATACATTATCTGCCCCCCCAACCGCACCCACCCACCCCCTCCCTCCGTCTTCTCCCCTTGCTCCCCCTCTGTCTGTTTGTGGCTAGTGACCAGTGCAGTTGGTCATATGATGTCACCATAGTGATCCTGCCCTCAGCCATTTGGTTCTGACTTTGACTTTCATGGTCAGAGTCTAATAATTAGCCATGTATTAGCTGCTGTTGTCACAAGTTTAATCTACCTGTTAAATCCGACTTTAACCCAGAGTCATTAGTGTTGAAAATAAAAATAATTTACAACTTTGGGAGTCTACTGGATGCAGTTATGGTGCAATATATCTGGATATCAGCATTTTACACAATTTCATTTCTAACTGAAGAATTTATGGGACCCATAATTTCCAAAGGGGAATGACTTAATAAATTGTGTGGTAATTTTGACCCTTAATGTATCCCGCCCATAAGAACTTGCATAAATGTCTATATCTTTGAGATTTATCAACATATGCAGCCATGTGGTATTTTAAGGCTGTGTGTGGATGAATGGGTTTATACTGGGGGATTTGTCTACATGTGCATGTTGGGTGTTTTTTTTGCTGAATCATATTAAACCATTTAGTGCCATTCTAAAAAAAAAAAAAAAAAACATTGCGCAGACTTCAACTTTAGGCGCCTGCTTTGCCATGCTCTTCTTGTCAAGTCAATCACAATCAAATCGAGTACTTCCGGTTAATCATTTAAAAGTAAAAGGCTTCTTGATAAAGACGCAGCATATCTGCATTCAAAATGTACTTGTGCTTTCTTGTGGGGGTTTAATTTACCAGTGCATCATGTTTAATAAACTGATCATATTTTCATATGTAAAATCTGAATCTGGAAGTATTACGGCATCTAACTACAGCTGTCTGATGACTGTGGTGGAGTGAGGGGTGCAGTATTTCCCTCTGAGATGAAGTGGAGTCGACTACAAGTTAAAGCAGCGTATGCTTTTCTATATTTGTCAGCCAACTTGTCCATAACATTCACTTTTGATTTGTAGACCAGACCCCTTATCTTCCGGTCTTATCCCCGCTAACTTTGACAGCTGGACGCAGCTGGACGCAGCTGGACGCAGCTGTTCGCGCGCTCTCATCCATCCAGCCCAGACGCGCCCCCGCTCCCCGGTCACAGCCGCTGCCCAGGGGCTTGGAGACACCAATCAGAACAGCTGGACCGAGGGATGCGCACTTAATTAACTTCTTCACTTTGTTTTCACCGTCCTGTAAGCCCCCTGCCCTCTGTCACGATTCCCACCCAGAGCGGCTCAACGGATTTTCCGTCATCCATTGGTCCCCGACCCGCGCGGAGGAAGTGGTCGGTGGTCTTCCTGGTGACCGCCGTCGCGATGGTTTTGCTGGCTCTGGCCGTTGCTGTCCCGTTACTGCTGCTCCGCACCTCTGAAACCTCCGCCCGTTACTACGAGATGATGGGCACCTGTCGAATGGTGTGCGACCCGTACAGCCCCAAACCGGGAGATGCCACCGCCATGGAGGTGATCCAGAACGTGAACGGTGTCGCTTCGCAGCCGCCAATGGCGCAGGGGAGTCGCGGAGAACCAGGGCGACCGGGTAAGCCGGGATCCAGGGGCCCGCCGGGAGAACCAGGACCCCCGGGTCCGAGGGGGCCGCCGGGAGAGCGCGGCGACAGCAAACTCTCCTTCCCCGCGTTAACTGGGGCTGCGGGGGCTGAGAACAGAGAAACAGACAGTATGAACTCCACGACCAACAGTTTCAGGATCGCCTTTTACGTCGGTCTCAAGAATCCACATGAGGGATATGAGGTGTTAAGGTTTGACGACGTGATTACAAACTTGGGTAACCACTACGATCCGAGCACCGGGAAGTTCACCTGCCATGTGTCCGGGATCTATTTCTTCACCTACCATGTGCTGATGCGGGGAGGAGACGGCACCAGCATGTGGGCCGACCTGTGCAAAAATGGACAGGTAATATTAAAGATTAATAATAATGAGCAGTGGATCGTTTTATAAGCAAATTCCAGTTTGCAGTTTCACATGTTTGTGAAGGGAACCATTTCACTGATGTAAAAAAAACAGCAGCGCTTTACATGAAGAATAATGTGACAACAAACAAACTGATTTAATTCAATTTGGTTTAAGATAATAATAATTAAAACAAGATTGAGCTCATAATCCACACCACATTAGCCGATACATAAAAATGCGCATTTTACGCACAAAAAGCGCACGACATCGCCTGAGGCTTGATCCTTTATTCGCCTTAACGCGAGTTATATAACTGCACATTCTTACTATTGGTATCTTTAATGAATACAAGGTAACATCAGTGATATTTCTGGTCAGATACGAGCGTGTCCGCATGCTCTGTTTGTCAGTGGCGCTCATGCGTAAATCCTGTTTGGATGAGTGTTTCCTCTCAGACGTTTCCAGCTGCAGCTGGATGAGGGGTCAGACATGAGTCTTCACATTATCTCTCATTATAAATGCTGACAGGGGATTTCATTCAATAAGGGTTTTGGTTACATTTCATTTTATTCTACTCCTGAATTTCCACTAGTTTAGAATTAGACAAGTACTCCTTTCACACACCCAATGCTACTCTTGTGGCTGCACCACTGCTGTTTCACTTTGCCCCTCAGGTACACATGATCTTTGCAACTCAGTTTCTATTTCTGTTGCATTCTCCTGTAAACTAGTGCTCACAACAGGAAGTCGTGTCCCATATTTCTCCAGGTTCGGGCCAGTGCCATAGCTCAGGATGCAGACCAGAACTACGACTACGCCAGCAACAGTGCTGTGCTGCACTTGGACTCTGGAGATGAGGTCTATGTCAAACTGGACGGGGGCAAAGCTCACGGAGGCAACAACAACAAGTACAGCACCTTCTCCGGCTTTATCTTGTACCCTTACTAAACACACCACAGCATGTCCATGGACAGTAATCATCACTGAAAATCGTTTGCAGTAAAGTATATGGTCTAATAAGTTTCTCTTCTTTTGAAGGGTGCCATGACACAGCGGTATGTTCTGTTCATCTATTTATTTGTGTTTGACTTAAGTTCAACTGGAGGTTGCTGTCATCAGTGAATATGTAATATCAGTAATATTTATGTTCCTTTGATTTAAGGTGGAGACTAACTGGCTGCCTACACGCTCAGAGGTCCATAGAGAATAGTATGAAGTATTTTGAAGCAAATGCATTGAATGAACGTCAGAGAAGAAGTTTTGACAGTATAATTTAGCCAACAGTGTTTGGCCTCCAGGCCTGGTCACACCAGCATTGAAAACAGTGAAATTCTGCAGCAAGATCAATTAATTTGGACAGAATCGCCAAATCAGTTAAACTGCACACATGTTACATCAAGCTCAATTTTAGTGAACTTTAACCTTTACATTTGCAGCCTTTAACCAGTCCTGACAGTAGAGACTTCTGAGGGAATAGAGAGATGAAGTGGAGGAAGCTAACGTAGCTTATTAGCTGTGGTGCACCATCCAGTTTTATTTAACGTCCTCTGCTCCAATAAGGAGGAATGGTTTGTCGACAGGAACAAGACACAAGTCGATGGTACAGATATTCTTTTGAATAAATTGTGATTCAATGTCCTGTTAGCAACCGAGCTAACACCGGGCTATAATGATGATGATACAGGTGCGAATTAACATTTATGTTAAAAGCTGCACATAGTCACTTTTGAGGTTGCTATTGTGACTGGCTAGCGTTAGCATGCTCCTGGCATGTTTACTGCTTACAAGCTAGCCCTGTGAGTGGCCCTTCATCACCAAATACTGGATTACTTTCACTGTGCCAGGTTCTGGTGTGACCTGAGCGTTACCGTGGTAACTAAAATACTGACACGTCCAAGTCATGTGATATCACATGTTTGAAAAGCCCAGTCTCTGAGATTATTTCTTAACACATCATCAGTATTAATTCTAAAATGAGAGCAACACCCCCCCCCCAACCCATGATTCCACTGGCATGCACCTTAACTGGATGAGCTGCACCTGTTATAGAACATATGACTGATTGATCGATCGATTGAGGTGATTGGAAAGTGCCAAAGCTGACAGACGTCACAGTCTAAATGCATTAAGATACTTTGATTGCTGTAGCGAGCAGAATCGTGGTGCTTTCAGCAGTATTTAGTGTTTCACGGTAGCAAATGGAACTTGCAAATGGATGTCTTAATTACTAATTATTAATACTGAATCTGTTATATTTTGTTCTCATATATGCCAATAAATATCGTTTGACAAAAAAGTTTGCATTGTGTGAAAATCTCTTGCACACACCACTTCATCGGGGATGTAGCTGTAGAAAGTACACGTTCGTGGCCTTGAAATCTGTCTGCACATATTTTGTTCCACATTTGCCTGAGAACGGCTTCCTGTCTGAATGCGTTGCGTTTCGTTGTAGCCTACGAGCCCGCCTCTCTGCAGTGTGTCCTACAGGTTCCAGGTGTCTCCCTGAATGTCCTTTGCTCCACTGTAGCTCGCAGCCATTTTTTTTTTTTGGTCAGTGAGCCTTGGACGCCATTGTGCTCTCCAGTCAGATGGGGCTGTTTTTTGTACTGCAAACCACTATAGCTGCATCTTTAAAAAATAACAGTCCTCACATTTTATTGTATTAATAACAAATGATAATAAAAAAAAATAAGCAGATTAATTAATAATGAAAATTAGCAATATTAGCAGGCCTAATGCTAAGTTACTACATATGTAACTTTTATAAAAGGCGCATTTTTGATGCATCTTTCTGCTACAGCTTTTATTTTTGAAAGACAGCGAGATTTGTCAGTAGCTATAGAGACCAACGAAAGTCTTCAGATGGCTACTTGTATATCATGTATGGTGACAAAACATAAATAACAACCCTAACAACTCTCAAAGTCGTCGTCTTAGATATTCTTAGATATAAAAGTGGGTGGAAGCTCGAGGCTGTCGGCATCTGTGTTTCACGTCTGATTGACTTGTACTGAGATTTGCAAATGCTGTACGAGACTCAAATATTGCTGTAAGCCTTCATTAACATGATGGTTGTTTTGTGTGTGTTTGATTTCTTTTTTTTTTCCTTTCCCATCCCCTCAGGAACACACGAAAACAGCTGTTTACACACCACTGCTGTCAATTTAAATGGAAATCATGGAAAACAAATATTAGCATGTCTGCTTAGATAAACCTCTATTAAGACTCTGGCTGATTCTCCTGCCCTCTACGAACTGACTTTGTCCCCCTCAGAGGGGACTGTGTTGTTATTTAGCTGCTCAAGGACAAAATAACAACAACAGGGAGACAGTTGTCGTTTGTGTGTATGTATAGAAAACACTATAGAAAAAAGGTACGATTTGTGTATAAAGACAATGTGTGTTGGTTTCACATCTCAGGCTTCATACAGTACAGGCTGCCCTTCCTTATTGGTGAAAGTTGCTGGGGCTGAAAGGAACGCCTGCAGACGAGACTCAGGGCTAAAAACAAAGAAAAGGTTGTGCCAATTTAGTTTTTTTTAAAGCAATATTTCTATTTATGGTTACTATTTTTCTAAAAAGACACAAGAACTGAACAGTTTTCACATATAAAGATGAACTGAAAATTAAAACTACATATGTTTTTAACAGAATATCATATCACAGAGTGATTTTTAATGAACAGTACTATGTCGGGCATATGTCGGGTAAACTGTCTCCTTTTTAACATGACAAAAAAGATGGAGAAGTTTACAATGATGATGACATTCTGCAAAGATTATTTAAGTATTTGGAATTATTATCCTATAACCAGGCTTGATTCACTGGCTGCTGGAGATGATCATTGTTCAGGGAGGTATAGAAATGTGAACTGGAGTGATGATGTCACCAGCGGAGGCCTTTTAAACTGTTTAAAGATCAAAGCGTGATGGCCTTGTAAAGGCTCTCAGCCCCATCTGCAGACACATTTAGGATGAAAAGTGGAGCTGCTGACACCAACTGAGACATCAGCAGCAGTATGTGTCACTGGCTGCCAGACGGATGCTCACACACACACACACACACACACACACACACACTCACATATATAACAACACGATAGATGATCAGGCTGCTCTATCCCCCTAGTCTGGCTGACAGTGAGGGATTGCTGAGTGACAGGCGGAGTAGTGAAATTCTCTGATGGATGAGATAAGTGGGACAAGGCCTCTCTCTCATACACACACACACACACACGCACACACACGCGCACACACGCACACACACTTTGTGTTCAGGGGAATTTAGCTTGACAGGCAGCTGAGCAACAGGCATCGTATTGGAGTAATGATAGCATGTGTCGCCAGGCACTTTGCTGCTGAGCATTGCCAGGTTTTCTGTGTGTGTGTGTGTGTGTGTTTGTAATTGCATGTGTGTGTGTGTAATTTACCACCTTCATTAACTATGATTTTTTAATTAAATCCTTTAAGTCTAATCTAATGATAGAGAGTTTACGATGCCAAAACACAGACGCGCCTGTTGTCCAAACACGTGTCTCCAGCAGCTAAAAACAGTCCTCCTCAGTTGAAGCTGTACGTGTCTGATTGCCGACTCGCCATGAAAAATTGCAGACGACAAAGCGCCCTGCACAGGCAGCCAATCATCGGGACATTTTTAAAACCTCTCCTCATTCTTTCACTTCACCGATTTTTTTTTTTTTTTTTGTTTCTCCAGCAATGATTGATCCACGTTCATGCAAATGCCAGCGTGGCATGAGAAAAATATAAAGAGGGACAGCTGAAGGGACCCGCAGAGAGGATGAGAGCTCAGTTTCACTTTAACTGACACCTAAAGAAAAAAAAAAACCCTGCTCATCTTCTGCTTTTGTTTGTTGTCTTATTCAGGCCGGTGCCCTCACACTCCACACAGCTGGGGGAGAGGAGCATCCTGAATTAATGGCAGTCTGACTTTTCTGAGAGAGCAGAGAAAGGTCTTTTATTCTCCTCACCCTGGATTTATGTTTTATTTAAAATTCAACATTAAAAAAAACCCCAAAAAAACAGTGCTTTAGCACACGCCTTGTGCTCATGAAGGTGCATTTTGCCACATGCCGAGGACAACAGTGTTGGAGTGTGGTTGTCGGGGCAACCAGTCGAGACTCCAGGAAGTCGCTGCACCCTGCACAGAAATAGTTCCAGCACATAATCCCCCATGATAACCACAACATGATGTAAACAACTGAAACAGAATGTGTCAATTAATGAGCTTTAGACAAGCTGGTGGGTGATTTTAATATTGGACGGAACCAGGCTAGCTGTTTTCCCCCTTTGTCTCCAGTCTTTATGCTAAGCTAACGTAATCGAAATTGGTGCATTATTAGGATTATCAGTTGGATTGAGCTTCAGTGAAACCCAAAGGTCAGCCTCCCTCCCCACCTCACCTTAACTTAATCAAGTTAAATGATTAAAAATACATTTGAAAGAAGGTCACCTCATATAAAGTATTTTGCATAATATGTCAATGTATATTAATTATTAATTATGACTTGATGTGGAATGTAAGTAAGTACTACAGCACTTAAGCACAGTTTTGAGAAACTATTACTTATAATACTTCTACTTAGTCTCCTTATACTGTAAAAAGGAAAATATTTATATATGTATTTTTACTCCACATTTATTTCACACCTACATTTACTAGTTAGTTTGCAGATTTACTTATGAAACTAGTGATTAGTCTATAAAACATTATTCATTGTTACAGAACAGACAACCCAACAATTATAGAGTAATAAGAATTAGCTCGGACTCCTGCAGCTCCGACATTAAAATGCTTCTTACGTCTTAATGCACCAGCAGTAATAATCCATTAATGTAATATAATACAACACTGGGGAAAGGCTGTTCTGCATAATTGGAAATTGTGGTATTACTGCTTTTACTAAAGTATCTGAATATTTATTTCCAGCATTTTCTAAATTCATAGACACTATGGATCATTTATGGAAAATATGTGTATGGAAAATTACAG